CGCCCTACCTTGCCTGCGCTGCGCCCACACGCGCGCCCTGCCTTGCCTGTGCTGCGCTGCCCTAGACCCGCACACAGCCCGCTGCTGCCCCGCGCGTCGCGTCCGCCGCCTGCGCAGCCCGCTGCTGCCCCGCGCGCCGCGGCTCCCGCCCTCGCGCAGCCCACTGCTGCCCCGCGCGTCGCGTCTGCCGCTTGTGCAGCCCGCTGCTGCCCCGTGCGTTGCGTCTGCAGCCCGCGCAGCCCGCTGCTGCCCCGCGCGCCACGGCTGCTGCCCTCGCGCAGCCCGCTGCGGCCCCGCATGTCGCGTCCGCCACCCGCGAAGCCCGCGGCCCCGCCACCCGCGCAGCCAGCGGCCCCGCCCTACCGTCGACGCGGCCCCGCCAGCCGCGCAGCCCGCGGCCCCGCCAGCCGCGTAGCCCGCGGCCCCGCCCTACCGCCGACGCGACCCCGCCACCCGCGCAGCCAGCGGCCCCGCCCTGCCGCCGACGCGTCCCCGCCAGCCGCTAACGCGGCCCCACCCTGCCGCTGTCGCGGCCCCGCCCTGCCGCCGACACGGCCCCGCCCTGCCGCCGACACGGCCCCGCCCTGCAGCTGACGTGGCCCTACTCTGCTGCCTGTCGTCTCGACTACGCTGCTAGTCTTGTTGCTGAGTCTGAGTCTATCTGTCCTCCGTCCGTCGGGGGTGAGTGTGCTCTTGGCACGGACGTCCTTGAGGACAGGCAGGAGGACCTTGAGTGTCTTGCAGCCGCTGCGCCTCATCTCGTGTCCATGCTGCTTGCCCCTGAGGGAGACCCGGATGCACCAGACATCCCGACTCCGCGTTCTTACGCTGAGGCGATCGCGGGTCCCTACTCCTCTCAGTGGCAGACAGCCATGGACGCAGAGATGGCATCCTGGAAGTCCACAGGCACTTACGTCGACGAGGTTCCCCCTCCTGGGGCGAACATCTTCGATGGCATGTGGATTTTCAGGGTGAAGTGGCCGCCGGGTTCTTCGCCTGTCTTCAAGGCTCGTTACGTTGCTCGAGGCTTCAGTCAGCGAGAGGGAGTCGACTTCTTCCAGACCTTCTCCCCCACCCCGAAGATGACCACTCTTTGGGTGCTGCTGCACGTTGCCACTCAGCGTGACTACGAGCTTCACTCTCTTGACTTCAGCACAGCCTTCTTACACGGCAGCCTGCACGAGGAGATCTGGCTGCGCCGCCCACCTAGCTTCACTGGGTCGTTCCCTCCTGGTACCCAGTGGAGCCTCCGGCGGCCAGTCTACGGTCTCCGTCAGGCGCCGCGTGAGTGGCACGACACACTAAGGACGACGCTTGCGGCTCTTGGGTTTGCTCCTTCGACTGCTGACCCGTCGTTGTTTCTGCGCACCGACACTTCGCTGCTGCCGTTCTACATCCCCGTGTTCTTCGACGACTTGGTCTTTGCTACTGCTGACACTGAGGCTCTTGCCCTGGTGAAGTCGGAGCTGCAGAAGAGATACACGTGCACAGACCTGGGTGAGCTGAGCAGATACCTTGGCTTGCAGATCACCCGGGACAGAGCACGCCGCACCATCACTCTGACTCAGTCACAGATGGTGCAGCAGGTCCTTCAGCGCTTCGGCTTCACCTGGTCCTCCCCACAGTCCACTCCTCTGGCTACTGGTCACTCGCTCTCAGCTCCACCTTTGGACGAGTCCGTATAGCCGATTGGTCCTTACCCAGAGCTAGTGGGCTGCCTCATGTACCTGATGACCTGCACTCGTCCTAACCTTGCGTACCCTCTTGGCCTTCTGGCCCGCTACGTGGCTCCTGGTCGGCACCGAAAGGTGCACATGGATGCTGCAAAGAGGGTACTGCGTTACTTGTGCAGTACATCGGGCATGGGGCTCGTGCTTGGAGGGCGGAGTGAGGTGGTCCTCACTGGGCACTCAGACGCCACTTGGGTTGACGACCAGGCTACACAGCGGTCGTCACAGGGTTACACCTTCAGTCTTGGCTCTGGCTCTGTTTCTTGGCGGTCTACTCGCTCGTCTTCTGTTCTCGGCTCCAGTTGTGAGGCTGAGATCTACGCCACAGCCATGGCTGCACAGGAGTTACGCTGGCTCACCTACCTACTGACTGACTTGGGAAAGCGGCCTCGTTCTCCTCCAGTTCTGTACGTTGACAACAAGGCCGCCATTGCCTTGTGTCAAGAGCACAGACTGGAGCACAGAACGAAGCACATCGCTCTGCGTTACTTCCTGGCTCGAGAGTTGCAGCAGCATGGTCAGCTTCGTCTTGCTCACGTGGCCACCCAGGCCAACACTGCTGATATATTCACCAAGGCACTTCCGTCTGGTGATCATCAGCGCTTTTGTACTTTGTTGGGCCTTGTGCCTATGTTTCCACACTTGCTGTAGACTCTGCTTGTACTGTGATCTATATATCTATGCCTGCATGCTTGTTCTTGCTAGGTAGTGATCACTGTACTGTTGTTGTTGCATATATATCTCTACATGTGAACTGGCCTTGTGGCCCTTTGCTTGTGCTCAGTGTGTGTGGTGACGTTGTGATCCACCCTGAGCTTGCTTTGCTTTTCTTGACTGGTCTTGTGACCCCTTGCTCTCCCCCACTTTGCCTATGGGGGTGTGTCAAACATATATGCATGTTATATTTGTGTAGGCTGTAGTGGGGTAGCCAATATGGGGTACAACCCCTTTAGGGTTTGATACTTGTACCCAACTCTGTTTCAATGCATTCACTTTCCTGCCTAGACTTTCTAACAAGAAGATGGGAGGCGACGGCTGAAGCTGCAGACACACGGGCAACAGGAGTGCGCAGCACTGTCGCTACCAGGCGCAGAGCCCCGGACTACACGGCGACAGGCGCAGCTGGCTCTCAGTACTCCCAGGAGTGCTCACACTGTGGCTACCAGGCGCAGAGCCCCGGACTACACGGCCACAGACGCAGCTGGCTCTCTGGACTACCAGGAGTGCTCACACTGTGGCTACCAGGCGCAGAGCCCCGGACTACACGGCCACAGACGCAGCTGGCTCTCTGGACTACAGGCGCTGCGGACGACAAGACGGCTGCCTCCACTCAACTTCCCCCAGCTGTCCCACACCCCTTTCACACACCCCCTGCTGTACCTCTAGCACTGCTCACACGCCACCCCCCTCGTACCACTCCGACGGCTCCAACACATCCACCCCCCTCAGCGGCAGCTGCAGCAGTGGGAGACGGAGGAGGAGGAGGAGCAAGGGATGGCGCACACACACCCGTCACCCCCATACTCGCCACCCCTACGCTTGCCACCCCCAAACCCTAATACAGGCAGCAGCGGGGGGGGCGGCGCATGGGCAGCAGCTCGGGGGATGGCGCGCGGCTCCTCAGGGCGTCGCGACGAGGCTGCGGGGGGCCGCGCGCGGCTCCCCAGGGCGTCGCGACAGGGTCCCGGGGGGCGACGCGACCGTTGACGGGGGGCGACGCGCGGGTCGACGGGGCAGAAAACCGCCGCGCGCCCCGAGCGCACGGCGGGAAGAAAAAACGCCGCGCGCCCTGAGCGCGCGGCAGGCAGCAAACATCGCGCGCCCAGGGCGTGCGATACGCAGGAAAGCAGTGGAAGCATCGGGCGGGACCACCCACAGGATCGACCCAGGAGGGTCGACCTGCTCTGATAGCATGTCAAAACAAAACAGCAGGCTAGGATCAGAAACAAGAAGGGGGTTTCACTAGCAGGCAGTTGAGTACATATAGCAAACCATAATTCGAGCTGTACTCGCTATAGAGTACCCCACTGCAGGCTAGACAAACATCACATTCTGACAGTTGATACTGTTGAAAGTGTCACATAGTTGAAAACCTGAGTTTTTTCTTTAGAAACCCTGAAAAATCAGGCATTTTTTTCCAGGGACACCTGAAAATCAGCCTTTTCTTCACAGGGACCCTGATGCATCAACGTCCCTAAAAGTGAATCTGAGGGCCTGGTTGCATTCCATGGATGGAGTTTTTGTGTACGGCATTACTTCACTTATTTTGTAAGTTGGGTTTTTCTTGTGTTTTCAACCGGAATGTAACCATGCGTGCGAGCAGTGTACAGGAACTTTTCGTACAATCGTTACATGTTTCCCTACTCTCTTTAAAAAAGCACACACGAAACAAAGCATCACAATCACACAGAAAACCTATGCACCGAATACAACCCAACCACAGCACACTGTTTCACAGGGCTTAGAAAAGCAAGCACGCACCGGAACACGATCCCTTGCGCTTCTTGCTGTTCCAAGCCCTAGAAAACGCATCCTCAGCCTTCAGAGCACGCAGAACTGCAACCCCACACCTGCCTCACCAACCTCCCATAACAAAAGCAGAAACATGCGATGAAAAGCAGACTCTCATGGGCCCCACACTTCCCTACTCCATCCAGCCAATATCCCCCTCAACCCTCCGCTCACTCCTCTAGCCTCCATCACTCTTCTCCCACTTGCTCCAACTCTTTCCCCCCACCTTATCGTCATCTTGGTCCCTGCCGTTGCGCAGGCTGCCCCAGAGGCACTTCCCACTCCTCTCGCCTCCCTCCATCCCCGTTCTCCCACTTTCCCACTTCCCCCCCACCTAGTCATCATCCTGGTCGCTGCCGTTGCGCAGGCACTGCCCCAGAGGCACGCGCCTGGTGGGCCTGCCCATGCACCCCAAGCCCAGCGCGCAGTTCACTCCGTGCACCGCCCCCCCCCCCCGTGCACCGGAAGGCATCGGGGCGCGTGACTCCTGCTGCCTGCCCCCACCCCCTGCCCACTCGCAGCACCAGCGCCGCGCTGCCCTGGCTCGCCTTCACCAGCCGCCCTGCCCCCGCCCCCGCCGCACACGCAAACTGCACGCGGGAGAGAGGAGTTTTGGGGGGGAGAGGGGTTCCGCGGGAGGGGAGGATCGGGGAGAGTGAGAGCGAGAACTGGGGGAGATAGTGAGGGTGGGGCGTGGATGGAGGGCGAGGGTTGGGCGTCGGGAGATACATGCAGAGGAAAGAACCACAAGGATGCTTGCTAGAAGAGAAAGAAAGAAGTGATTGTGGTTGAGCATGGAATGCTGGCTGTCACCTTGTAGTTCTTGCCACGAGCCTGCATGCGCGCGTAGGGGCGGGCGCCCTTGACAACGTGCAGCATGAGCTGTTCCCTCAGCATCAGCGCATCCCCTCGCACCGACGGGGGCAGCTGTCCCATTGCCGCATCAGGAATGGCCAGCAGCGTCACTCCGCCCGCACACATCACGTCTGGTAACTCCGCCGCCAAACCTGGTGAGGCATGGTGTGAGGCATGGGACACATGGGGATGGCTGGTGAGAGGGCAGGTGAAATGACAGGTGAGATGACAGGTGAAATGACAGGTGAGATGACAGGTGGGGTGGCTGATGGCGTAGGGAGTGGGAGAAGGAGAGGCGGAGGGTGGGGTGAGGGAGAGGGAGAGGGAGAGGGAGAGGGAGAGGGAGAGGGAGAGGGAGAGGGAGAGGGAGAGGGAGAGGGAGAGGGAGAGGGAGAGGGAGAGGGAGAGGGAGAGGGAGAGGGAGAGGGAGAGGGAGATGGAGAGGGAGAAGAAGAGGGAGACCGAGAGGGAGACGGAGAGGGACGGCAATAGCGGCAGGACAGCGACAGGACAGGGGCAGCGCCAGCAGCGGGCCCAGCGCACCTGTCTGCTGCAGCGCACCTGTCTGCTGCAGCGCCGCCGCGAACTTCTTGAATCCGCTCTTCCGCAATCCGCTCATCAGCTTTCCCGCTTGCTTCGGCCCGTCACACGCCTGCACGTCCACGTCAGCAGCCGTCACCGCATTCGCGCTCGCCATCACCGCGTTCTTCCGCCCGCTGCCGTCGCAACTCGCAGTGCTGCTCTTGTTGCAAGTCCCCGTGCCTTTCTTCCCCTGATTCCCCCTCCCGGCGCCATTGCCGCTGCGACCACCGGGGTTACCGCCGTTCTTGTTGCCGCTGCACGTGCCAGATTTGGCGCACGAGCCGTCGCGCTTCCTGTCGCGGTCCTGGTTGCCCGTGCCGTCCCGCTTGCGATCCTGATTGTCGGCAACCGCGAGGCCCACGAGGAGCATTGCGAGGACGGCTATAACGAGGATTTTCTTCGATGCCATGGCTGTTCACGTCGGTTCAAGCGAAGAGGTGTTTCCAGATAGTACCTGGGATCACGATTCGGGGAAGTCCCAGATGGCTCGTTTACAGCTGCACCTTCCTGCCAGACTCGGGGGGTTCGGCATTCGATCTGCGGCTGACCTTAGTCCTCTGTCGTATGCATGTGGCTGGTGCCAAGCAGTGAGCGATGTGGCTCGGTCGGGGGGGTGGCAGGTGAGGAGCGGATGTTTGAGGAGTTTTTCCGCACGCCCGAGGCTACGACCTTGTTGGACCCCTGGTTTGCGAGAGCAGTGGATCTGCTTCCACAGTCGGTTCGGCAGGAGATGCCACCCCTTGCCTTGTGCACCGCTGATCCGCCTATGCTGCTCTTCCCCACACAACACCGTCGCCTGGCGGTTGAGAGCCTCCAATCTCTTCGAGGCATGGCCCACAACGATGCCACCCTGGCCCGTTTGACATCCCTTCAGGGCCCGGGGGCTGGGGCGTGGGTTTCTGCCGTTCCTTCGCACGAGGAGGCTACCTTCACCGCAGCCGAGTGGAGCATCTGCGCGTCCATGCGCCTAGGCCTCCCTATTCAGCAGCTGATAGTGGCCGGCAAGTGCGCGTGTGGGTTTGAGTTTGCTGATCCCTCTGACCCGCATCATGCCCTTCGCTGCAAGTATCAGTATGCACCTTCTCGGGTTCACGATGCGGTTAAATTTGTGGTGGCGAAGATAGCTAAGGGTGCGGGTGGGATTGTGACCATGGAAGACGACACGTTGCTCCCAGGGAAGAGGGTTGATGTGGCGGTTCGGAAACTGAGGGAGGGGGAGGAGCACGCGCTGGAGGTTAGTGTGGTAGATCCTATCTCGCTATCCGCGCAGCACCATGGACAGATTGGTCGCAAGGTGGGTTTTGCCGCGAGAGAGAGAGAAAAGCGGAAGACGGCGGACTACAAATCGCTTCTACAGCGGCATGGGGGAGTGCAGTTCACACCACTCATTGCTGAGACATGGGGATGCTTGGGGGGGAGTTTTGGACGGTGGCTTAAGAAGCAGGGTGACGCGCAGATCGAGATAGCAAAGACGAAAGGGGCGGCGCGAGCTACGGGAAAGGGTTTCTCGGCTTATTTGCTCGGATCGCTCAAAGCGGCTGTGGGTGTGGCTTTGCAACGGGCTCAGGCGCGTGTGATCTTGTTACGCGCTGCGTCGATGATGAGAGGCCCAGAGGCTGTTTGGGTGGAGCGGGAGGATGTTGAGGAGGAGATGGGATGGGATGCTCCGTGGGCGGATGCACCATACTTGGTAGACATGCGGGTTTAGGGAGTGGGTTTAGGGGGGGAGGTTTGGTTCGATGGGAGTGCAGTTGGGGTGCTTTGATGGGAGGGCTTGATGGTGTTTTAAATGTGTGTGCTATTGGGGTTTTCTTGGGGTTGTGTGTGCTACTTTTTCTTCCTTCTTCCCTGTTTTTCTTCCTCCTATCATTTTTCCCCTATTCCCCTCCTTCTTTCTTCCTCTCTCCTTTTTTCTACTCACGTTATTCCTCCTTTTCTCCTCTCTTCCCGTTTCCACTCCTTTTCCTTGCGTAATTATGCTACATTGTAACAGATAGTACCTCGATTGCTAAAAAAAAAAAAAAAAAAAAAAAAAACACCTCTTCGCGATGAATCAACACACATATACACGGGTTACAATCTTATGTACAAAAAATTGTAGCTGAATAGCCACGCCCATCTTCATATACAAACTTAGAAACAAGTAGCTACAAGTTGTTATGTTTCTTCTTTCCGTTCACACTAACTGTCATTCCATCCACAACATCCTTGCAAAATAACATAAAACCGGAGGGTCAAGAAGGCCCAAACTGGTACCTTCCTACCTAACCTCGGTCGAGTTTGGCCCTCGCACCCAAAATCTTGGCCAATCGTATTGCTCGCCCCAACCAACCTTCCTAACGTTGAACTTCTTGGCCCGCAGGTTTTAATCAACTTTCACACAATTTGTGTGATTTAAACCAGAAGTACACCAGTGACTAACAGGCGGACTAAAGGAGATTATCGTGGCACAAAATTCAAGCATAGTAGAGAAGTTGCAACAAGGGTATAAAATTATTAGCCTAACGTACGGACCGAATCAGCTCCATCCACAGCCCACTTATAGCATCATCACTATTCATAAGGCAGGGTCAACGGTTTTGGAAGTTGAGCTTCTTGAGTGCGTAAGCGAAGACGGTAAAAAAGAGGATGATGAATCCGATGTTGACAAGCACGACATAGCCGAGCCACGAGTGCTGGTAGCCAAACACCTCCTCCAGATACACCTGCACCGTTGGGTCCGGTGAGACCCCTGGCACCTGCAGCGTTGTCGTCACATCGCCCAGCTGCAATCATGAGTGAAGGGAGAGGGAGGCAGAGAGGGACGGAAAGGGGTTAATGAGGGTGTTTTGGGGTTGACAGAAGGAACATGCATGCAGCAATTGCACAGTGGAGGATCAAAGCTGGTGCTATGGAGGGGGCGACTCAATTGAAGTTGTGTGTTGGAAGAGCGAGGAGCAGGTGAGCAGTGAATAGCAACGCAGGGATTGCACATGCACGGCAGAGAAAGTGCACTAAGTGCAGCAGGAGCAGTAGGAGAAGCATGAGCAGCACAGGCAGCATCAGCAGTACGATTGGAGAGCAGGAACAGGAGCGAGCAAGAAGAGCATGCGTGCAGCACGGAAGGAGCCGAGCGTGCAGCATGCAACAAGCCGAGCGAGAGGCGTTACCTGCGAGGCGTTGAGGCCGTAGAGTGTCCATGAGACGGGGTTGATCCAATAGAACCAGCGCCACCACACCGGGATTTGCTGCAGCACATGCGAACAGGACCGGAGGGAATGAGCAATTGAGTAAACTTGGGCACTAACAGGACTGGGACGAGGAACAACAAAACAGAAAACATGGCAGGCAACACACAGCAGCAAAACATGGCAGACCGGGTGGAAGCACGGGGGAAGGCAAAGAGGTAACACAGCGCAGCAGCAAGTACTCACAGGTCGGGTGATGAGGAAACCGCAGAGAAGGTTCCAGAAGGAGAAGAAGAATCCCGAGATGACCATGGCGAGCTGCTCGTTGGGCGAGATGGCGATGGCCATGAGGCCGTAGCATGTGAAGTAGAAGAGCGTGAGGAACATGAAGAGCGTGTACCACCAGAACTTGCCGGCCGTCCACTCAAACTGGATCATGGCGTACGTGATGAGCGAGTAGATGACCGTCTGCACCAACACGTATGGGATTTCAATTGCCCCCTGCGCCAGGGCATACGGCACCGCGCCGTACAGCCCTGCAGCACGCTCGCGGTAAAAGACGGTGCGCTCGATGGCGACAATGGGCTGCACGGAAGCAGCGTTGTTCCACCCCATGAAGAGTGATGCGGTATACATGGCGCCCATGACGTTGAGCAGCTGCTGCTGCGTGCCGCGCTGCTTGCCCAGCCCGAAGAACACACCACCAACGAGCAGAGCCATGATGGCGCAGAAGAAATAGCGCACCGCGTTGTAGTCGGGCGCCCGCCAGTACATGCGCGACCGCTTCCACAGGTTGGCAATGAACTGCGTGGGGTAGCTGGTGGAGAATTTTGTCGCAAAGGCGAGGTCCTGCTGGCCCGGCGGGGGCGTCTTGAGCGACTCTATCAGCTCTTCATTGTGGCGGAACTGGTCTGATTTGCGGAAGATTTCGGCGAAGTCGATGTTGAGTTTGTCGGCCATGGCGGGCGTGGAGATGTCCAGCATCCACGTGGCGGGGTTGTAGCCGGCGGGGATGGGCGGCACGCCTGGGATGGCCTGGAAGTAGTCAATCATTATCTTTGAGTCCGTGCCTAGCGGGCCCATGTAGATCACCTCGCCTCCTCGCTTCATCAGCAGAAGCTGTGCGGTGGAAGGAGTGGGGAGATAGCAGAGCAACGGAGGAGAGAGGGTAAGGAGGTAAAAAAAGAAAGGGGAGCGAAAGAAACACCAGAGAAACGGAGGCACGAGAAAGGGAAAGGCGAATTGGAGAGTGCAAGATAGTTGGCGAGATGTGAGAAGCGAACTGTTGCACTTCAAAAGCGCCAGACTTCCACCACACTGACCTCACCAAAGGCTTCAAAGACCTCCGCACTGCTCTACACAATCATACTCTTTATAACGCACCTCATCAAAGGCTTCAAAGACCTGACCGCACTTCTCTACACAATCATACTCTTTACAACGCACCTCATCAAAGGCTTCAAAGACCTGACTGCACTTCTCTACACAATCATACTCTTTATAACGCACCTCATCAAAGGCCTCAAAGATGTCGATGCTCGGCTGGTGGATGGTGCACACGACGGTGCGCCCCGTGTCCACGGTGTTGCGCACGGTGCGCATCACAATGGCCGCCGCCCGCGCGTCCAGCCCGCTGGTGGGCTCATCCAGAAAGATGATCGAAGGGTTGGCGACGAGCTCGACGGCGATGGTGAGGCGCTTCCTCTGCTCCGTGGAGAGCCCATTCACCCCCGGCAGCCCCACCATGGCGTCCCTGAGCCCATCCAGCTCCACCAGCTCCATCACCTCCTCCACAAACTCCTCCCTCACCTCCGTGTCCACATCAGCCGGCAGGCGCAACCACGCGGAGAAGAGCAGGCTCTCGAGCACCGTCACCTGCGGCGTGTGAATGTCGCTCTGCTCGCAGTACCCTGCCACGCGCGCAAACGTCTCGTGCACCTTGGGGAACCCCGACACGCGCACGTCCCCCTCGATGTACCCGCCGGTCTTCCTGCCTGCCAGCACGTCCATGAGCGTGGTCTTGCCCGCGCCCGACACGCCCACCAGCGCCGTCAGCACTTTGGGCCGGAAGGCGCCCGACACGTTGCGCAGCAGCTGCAGGCGCGCGTCGGGGGGGGCGCCCTCGGCGCGCATCTCGGCGGGCATGTCGACGAAGTAGTTGACGTTGTGGAAGGACAGCGAGTGCGGCTCGAAGGGCAGCACCATGCCGTGCTTTCCCTCCGCTGACTCGGGCTGCGACTCCACGTCTGGAGAGGAGAAGGGGCGAGAGCGGAGGAGGAAAAAAGGAGGTGAGGCAGTTGGGCTTGAAAGTTGGCAGATTTCGAAAAGTTAAATGAGGAAAGGCAGTGCGGTTAAGAGTATCATACAGTGCATACAGTGCTCAGTACACACCTCGCAATGCAACATGGCTACTGCAGTAGCGTGAAGAGAGCACTGCTGGTAGCCCTTGCCGTTGCCCTTCCCCATCCTGATCTCTCACGTCAACAGGCCATGTGACTTGTGCAGTAGCGCTCGCAGGTCTGCCGTGCGTCTGAATCAAAAGGCACACTCCTCACCTCGAGAAGCCGTGTGGCTGGTGCAGTAGCGGTCGAGAGCGCTGCTGGTGCCCTTGCCCTGCCGTGTTGACCGCTTCCTGCTGCCGCCCGCCAAGCCCAGCACCTCGCCCGTACGGGCGGCGTGTTTTGTCTCCAGCTGCTCCTCTGACACCACTGGCTGGGGACGCGCCCACGCTGCGCCGATGCACAGTCGGACGGGAGGGAAGGAGCAACAGAGAGGGGAGGGTGAGGCAGTGCTTTGGGTGAGGCAGTGCTTCGGGTGAGGCAGTGCTTCAGGTGAGGCAGTGCTTCGGGTTGACAAGGAGGAAGGCGGCAATGAGCAAGCAGGGAACGAGACACAGCAAGGCCAGTGGAGATTACGATCGCCGTAGGCGAGTGCGAGCATGGTGAGGAGGTTGAAGAGGAGGGAGGAGGCAATGAGGGAGGTCAGGACGACATGAGAGAACAAGGGGAGAGGAGAGTGGGTGTTGAAGGTTCACGATCGAGGTAAGCAAGGGCGAGCATGGCGAGGAGGTTGAAAAGGATGATGAAGGCAATGAGGCGGGTTAGGGCGACGTCGGGGACCAAGGTGTTGAAGGCTTGCGATCGAGGTAAGCGAGGGCGAGAATGGTGAGGAGGTTGAAGAGCAGGATGTAGGCGATGACGCAGGTCAGGGCGATATCAGAGAACAAGGGGCTCAAAGCTTACGATCGAGGTAAGCGAGGGCGAGAATGGTGAGGAGGTTGAAGAGCAGGATGTAGGCGATGACGCAGGTCAGGGCGATATCAGAGAACAAGGGGCTCAAAGCTTACGATTGAGGTAAGCGAGGGCGAGAATGGTGAGGAGGTTGAAGAGCAGGATGTAGGCGATGACGCAGGTCAGGGCGATATCAGAGAACAAGGGGCTCAAAGCTTACGATTGAGGTAAGCGAGGGCGAGAATGGTGAGGAGGTTGAAGAGCAGGATGTAGGCGATGACGCAGGTCAGGGCGATATCAGAGAACAAGGGGCTCAAAGCTTACGATTGAGGTAAGCGAGGGCGAGAATGGTGAGGAGGTTGAAGAGCAGGATGTAGGCGATGACGCAGGTCAGGGCGATATCAGAGAACAAGGGATTCAAAGCTTACGATTGAGGTAAGCGAGGGCGAGAATGGTGAGGAGGTTGAAGAGCAGGATGTAGGCGATGACGCAGGTCAGGGCGATATCAGAGAACAAGGGGCTCAAAGCTTACGATCGAGGTAAGCGAGGGCGAGAATGGTGAGGAGGTTGAAGAGCAGGATGTAGGCGATGACGCAGGTCAGGGCGATATCAGAGAACAAGGGGCTCAAAGCTTACGATCGAGGTAAGCGAGGGCGAGAATGGTGAGGAGGTTGAAGAGGATGATGAAGCCGATGAGTGCCGCCGCGCCAATGCCGCGCCAATTTTCGTTCAGCGGCAGCGAGCGGCTCTCCAGCAGCACCTGGCCCATGGTGACCGTGGGGGGGAAGAGCGGGCCTGCGGACTGCAGAATGGCACACATGAGGGAAGCGGGGGGGGGGGAGAAGAAAGGATGGAGGGGAGATGGGATGCATGAGCGGCTCTCCAGCAACACTTGACCCATGGTGGGTGAGGGGGGGACGAGTGGACCTGCTGACTGCAGAGGGGTGGGCACACATGAGGGAAAGGGAGGGCGAGGAGTCAGATGAGGAGCGATGGGGAATGCATGAGCAGCTCTCCAGCAACTCCTGCCCCATGGTGGCCGTGGGGGTGAAGAGGGGACCTGCTGACTGCGGTGCGGACATACGCAGAGAGATGGGGGAGGGTACACACGAGTGGCCAAGAGGAGAGAGGGGTGAGAAGACTCAGGCGCGAGAGGGGATGGACGAAGGGCTCCTTAACAGCTTTGCTGACTTCACACGGGCACACGGGGAGGAGGGGAGGAGGAGGACGCAAGAAAGAGAGGAAGACATGAGTGCATGTCGATAGGTGTGTATGTGAATGCATGTCGATAGGTGTGTATGTGAATGCATGTCGATAGGTGTGTATGTGAATGCATGTCGATAGGTGTGTATGTGAATGCATGTCGATAGGTGTGTATGTGAATGCATGTCGATAGGTGTGTATGTGAATGCATGTCGATAGGTGTGTATGTGAATGCATGTCGATAGGTGTGTATGTGAATGCATGTCGATAGGTGTGTATGTGAATGCATGTCGATAGGTGTGTATGTGAATGCATGTCGATAGGTGTGTATGTGAATGCATGTCGATAGGTGTGTATGTGAATGCATGTCGATAGGTGTGTAGGTGAATGCATGTCGATAGGTCTGTACATGAATCTCATGTTTAAGGCGACTAAAATTTCGGTTGGGAACTGCATCCACAGAACAAAGAGCAGAGAGCAGAGAGCAGAGAGCAGAGGGGCACGCACCACATTCCAGCGGGGCGCGAGGAACTCGTTGACAGCGAGGGCGTTCTGGCCGTACATGAGAGGCGAGATCCAATACGCCCAGATCCACACATTGTGAATGTCACCTGCACGGCGAGGAGAGAGAGCGAGAAAGAGGGCAAGGATGATGGTGGGTGCAGGATGATGGTGCGTGTTTCTGAGAATTCTCAAAAACACCCTGCAGGATGAGGAGAAAGTCTACTCCCAGATTCACATGTGCTGCAACCTAGCGCTGTTTCCAGTCCCTACATATACACTCGTTATAAGAGCGAGTGCACCACTCACCCTTAGCGAGGACGAAGCCACCGAGAAGGAAGAGGATGATGAGGGCGAAGGAGCCGAAGGTGTTGGAGAGACCACCATGCTGTGCCCCAGCGCTGATTTACTCCTACATACGCGTTATAAGCGCTACTGGCTCACCCTTAGCGAGGACGAAGCCACCGAGCAGGAAGAGGAGGATGAGGGCGAAGGAACCAAAGGTGTTGGACACCACCATGCTGCGGCCCAGCGCTCCTATGAGACGGAAGAGCGACATGGCGACCTGATGGATGAGGAAGAAGAGAAACATCTGCATGAAGAACCTGCGAGGGAGGGAGGGGGGACAGAAAAGAGTGCAGAAAAAGGGACGCTGCATGAGCAACAATGGTGGATGAGGAAGGAGAGAAACATCTGACGAACCTGTGAGGCAGGGAGAAGGGATGGGAGAGGGGAAGGGGGGGAAAGAGAAGGAAAAGGGGCATAGAATGGAGGAAAATGGTGAACGGGGAAGGAGCAGCAAGAAGGACGGCCACGAAGAAGAAAACAGCAGAAACGAGTGCTCTGCCCAGCCCATTCTCTCATCTGCCCAGCCCATTCTCTCATCTGCCCAGCCCTTTCTCTCATCTGCCCAGCCCATTCTCTCATCTGCCCAGCCCTTTCTCTCATCTGCCCAGCCCATTCTCTCATCTTCCCCATCTATTTTCCCACCTGCCCGGTTCCGGTGCGAAGCCAATGACATAGTACGTGACAGCCGTCCAGATGATGGACGCCCAGGCAGAGAAGGGCAGCGACAGCAGCTCCATGGGCACCTCCCACGCCCACGCGGGGTACAGAAACGTGTCCCTCTGCCGGTAGAATATCGGCAGGCGCATGACAAGCAGCGTGAGCTCGGTGAAGCCATTGAAGAGCATCATGATGAGGCCGAAGAAAATGGCGCCGAGGTAGTAGTTGCCGTCTTGCAGGGAGATGTCGAGCGTGGTGCGGAAGAAGACGGTCATGGTGACGAGCGCGATGAGGATGATTTGGATGGTCTGAGCGACGTAGAGGAAGGCGTTGCGTTTCATGAGGAGAAACTCACGCTCGAAGACTGCGAGGAACATTTCGGAGGTTGGCAGGGCGTTGCGCTTGTGGGCCAGCGCGCCGGGAGGGCTCTTTTCTTTTGGGTAGGGCACCTGGTGGGTGGTGAAGGATGGGAATGAGGGGCGGGGGGGAGGGAGGGTGGGGGTTGAGAAACAGTGGGAGTGGGAAGGGCAGGAAGAGTGGGAGAGTGTGGGGCAAAGGGACAAGAGCAAGACAGCAGAACACACGGCACGTACTGAGAGGTGGGCAGCAGTGGCCTTGCCGATCTGCGTCTCCTTGAACGCCGCCTCAAACGCCTGCGCCGGCACATAGTGGTACGGCTGTCCGCCCGGGCCCCCCTTCCAGTACTGCCCCTGGTCCTTCATCGACGTCACCTCCTGCAGGAAATCCGCCTCGCCTTTCCTCTCGGGGCACTCAAACCCCAGCTGGTTGAAAAACGGCACCACCTGCTCCCTGGGCCCGTGGAACACGACGTGGCCCTCGGAGAGCAGCATGACGTCGTCAAAGAGCTCGTAGGTCTCTGGGGCGGGCTGCAGGAGGGCGACGAGCGTGGTGGCGGCGTGGAGGTGGGTGAGGTGGCGCAGGCAGCGCGTGATGAGGAAGGTGGTGGAGGAGTCCAGCCCCGTGCTGATCTCGTCCATCAGCAGAACTTGCTTTGGGCCCACAAGGGACACGCCTGTGGTCACCCGCTTCTTCTGCCCGCCTGAGATGCCGCGCAGCATTTCGTTTCCCACCACTGTGTCTGCACAGATGTCCAGACCAAGGATCTGACAGGGGAGGGTGGAGGGGAGAAAAAGCTCCGTTGCCGGGATTTGAACCCGGGTCGCCTGGGTGAAAGCCAGGTATCCTAACCAGGCTGGACGACAACGGATATTAAATCATGCCATATGTCCAGCACACCTAGGAACTAAGGTGAGAGTGGGGAAGAAGCAGTGGTGACTCGGGGAAGCAAAGCAGTATCAGCAGCTGACAGGTGTGCAGGGAGCGAGCTCTAGCCCTAGATGCTGCGCGCCCCTCTCCAATTACCTGACCACTAGGCATGGCTGTGAGGCAGAGTAGCGCGGCTTGCCTCAAAAGCTCGCATGCTTACAAATGTCCTAGGTAGCGCTACCATCCCATCCCATCACCGTCATCATGATAATCTCAATCACCACCCCACCAGTCTCACCTTGAGCACATAGTCCGTGATGACGTTGGTGGGGTTGCCCTCCAGTGCCATCGCCTGCACGGGGGAAGAGCAATGAGAGGGCGAGTGAGAGAGTATGAGGCACGGAAACTCAGAATCTAACAAGGGACGGTTGGCACTGAAAACGGCAGATGGAGAGGGAAGAGCCACGGAGCACAGCGTGTGCAAAGACAAAGAAGCTGAGAAAATCTTTGAAAAAAACAGGAATATATCTCCAACTCACGAACCGTCACAGGGCATGGTCTGTACCAATCCGCACGGCAAACCGTGAAGCCCAGACTCTTAACTGCGAATTCCGAACCCAAACCCCTCCGAACCTCAAAAACTCTGAACCCCACCTTAATGATGACATCCATAATCGGATCCGCCACGATGCAAACCCAGAATCCCAAACCCCACGCTCCGAACCCCGAGCCCACCCCACCCGAATCCAAACCCAGCCACCCAGCGTGCCGTACCTTCATGATGGCGTCCATAGTGGGGTCCGGCACGATGCCCTGCTCCGCCTCGCGCTTTTCCAGCTCTGCCACTAGGTCTGCTCCACCAGGGGGGTGGGGTGGAGAAGAGGGGAAGGGGCGATAAAGGCGGAGGGAGGAAAGGCGGAAGGGCAGTGGTTGGGGAATCGGGATGTGTAGAGCTGGTGGCAGGGAGGATGTGCTGAGAGAAGACCAGCATAACTTGTAAATGGGCGAAACGACACTGCACCCCAAACCACCCTACGCGCTCACACTCACACCTTACCTAATCCTCAACCCCACGCCCCTCAAAAAGCCCACTCAACCCACCTTTGCGGAGCCCCGGCCCTGCAGGCGCGCGGAGAAGTCGAGGGTCTCCCGGACGCTCATCTCTCAAACCTCAAACGCCCTCCTCTCTCTCCCCCAATAACGCGCGCACACGCACCTTTCCGAAGGCCAGGACCCTGCAGGCGCGCGGAGAAGTCGAGGGTCTCCCGGACGGTCATCTCGCCGATGTGCTCGTCGTTCTGAGGCACGTACACTGCTGTGCGCTCTGGTATGAACTCGTTAAGAGCATGCCCGTTATAGGTCACGCTGCCCGATACCTGCGTGGAAATCGGAAGAAGGAACGAAACAGGGGGAGAGAAGTGGGAAGGGGAGGAGGTGAGGAAAGGAGCAGCGCACAGTGCCTTGGGCCTGTGAGCGGGACTCACGCCTACAAACTAGCTAATGAGGCTGATAATGGCTGAAAAACGGCCCCTATTAATCTCATTCTCTCATACACCACCTTCTCACTGCCAGCTGTGGCCACGTTACAAGCCCCACCCACCTTGAGCGACTTGTCGGGGCAGCCCGCGAGCACTTGCATGAGCGTCGACTTGCCGGCGCCTGGCGGCCCCAGCAGCAGCGTCATGCGGCCCGGCCGCAGCACGCCCGAGCACCCGTGCAGGATCGGATACGGGCGCCGCGAGTCCGGCACCACGCGCAGCGACCGCAGCGCCGCCTGAACCGGGGGACACGCGGGCAAGGGAGGGAAATGGGTGCGGGAGGCAAGGGGGGGGGGGGGCGGGACGAAAGGAAGTAACTTTTGAGTTATCTCCACAACACGAGGAGTTTAGAGAGTGAAACGCGGGAGGCACACAAGCAGCCGCGAAAAGCGAGTGTCGCGGCGGGAAATGGCAGCCGACTCGCGTCAAGAGCGCGACTCACGGCGAGCGAGTTGCGCGTGAAGTTGAGGAGCGTGGGCAGCGCGCGCGTGCCGACGTACACGCCCGCCTCGACGTTCACGTCCTCGAAGCGCACCTCCACCGACGGCACGCTCAACCCCACGCTGCTCGCCATTGGATGCCGTTGGTGAGGGGATGGCAGAATGCGGAGGAGGGAAGGGGAGGGGAGAAGAGGAAGAAAAGGTTAATCGAGCCCACAACCTATTGCCGTGTCCTTATGCCGTTTTTCCCAACAACTGAAGGCTTGCATGCATCTCGATTCGTTTAATGTATCATTCGCAACCCACCAACAAATTTCCCCGTCCACTCCGCGACTTAACAAAATCACCACCAGTTTCCCCACGGCTTTTTTAACAGAACCTCACCGGTCGAGGCGGGCTTTAAGCTTCGTGAGGAACGCCTCGTTGTCCTGATCGAGCGTCTCCAGCGCGCGCTCCACCAGCCGCTCCCGCTGCGCGTGGCTCAGCGCGCGCAGGTCCACCTGCGCCAGCTCCGCCTCCCCCTCTTTTCCGCCGTCCGCCAGCGCGCCCGCGCCCAGCGTGCTTCCGCCCTTGGGGAGCACCGCCGTGTGCAGGCGGTCGGCCGGGGGGAGTTGCTGCAGCTGAGCCCATGCCGCGGGGTCCGCCGCTGCAGGATCGTGTTTGCCTGCGACGAATGCGAGGGAAAGGAATAAACGGAGACGATGATAATAATTATTCTCAAGAATTGAGTTATCTCTTATTATCCAAATTATTGGTTAGTGTGCACTGAACCTGTCAAAAAAAGGTTTACAACTTCGAAAGCTTCGCAGTCATGCTCCACACACGATGGCTAGCAGCAATGCAAGCGGAGACGCACCGACAGGAATGTCGCCAGGCATGGCGACTGCCGTCACAGTGGATAACAGGAGAAGTTGTGGCCGCCAATCGCAGAGGGTTCCTTTGAAGACTTTGGAACTTTTCAAGAAAGTGGGTTTCAGCTCAATCAGGAGCTTGGAAGTTGTAAAGCTGTGATGGCCACAGGGGAGGGAGGGAGCCAACAAGGGCGGTTCGCGGGAGGTGAAGGGGAGTGTTGAGGAGATCGCTGGCTGCTTGTAACCAACTTTGTGGGATTGTGGCAAATGATCTGGTGGGCCTATCAAGAAGCACGAAACCGTCGTCTGGACGACTGAGATACAGTCGCGCGAAGAGGCGACAAGCAAATCCCTCGTTACGTGCAGTTTCGGAAACTCGATGTAACGAGGCAACTTCGCACTGGTCTCTTGTACGTGTATGGCGGGCGAAAGTAAGTGAAGCACAGCCACGAATGCCAACGTAACCAGGGCTCGCGGAATTGCGGAAAGCGAGAAAGTCATCCGATGTGGCGCTTCCTTAGTGGTGTTGGTGGTGTCAGCAGGGTGTGGCCATGAAGCTGCGATGTAGTTGCCGTACGGTGGAAAACTGTAAAGTTGTCTCGCGAATCGCGAATTTACAGTGCATCCATGACGTCATGCTGCCAAACTATTCAATGCCTTGAAGCTTCCAGAGTTGGGCACTGGAGCTTGCCGCAATCGTCTCGATGACGCCAGCAGCCCTTTCCAAAAGCATGTCACTTTACTACTACAAGCACAGGGGTACACCTTACTGTTCAGGGAAACCACGCTTGCACATAAAATTTGCAAGCATGTGTGCCTGTTGCTGCTGTTGCTGCTGACGCAGTGATGCTGCTGCAGAGAACATTGAAGCAAGCAACGGTGGCGTGGGCACATAGGTATGCAGCGCACAATATGACATTTCAAGGTAGTTCGCACAGAGAATCAATATATGCATGGACTACGTAAATGGAATGGCATTCGAAGAATAGTGTGCCAGAAAAGAATGTGAAACCAGTGCCCTTCATATAAGACCATCCAGTACGTACTTCATTACAAAAACAACTTCTCAGTTGAGTGACACCAATTTCCTGGCAGCTTCTGCTATCTCTGCATCTGTTCCAGCACCGCCCTTCACTAGGCTCTCCAGACGCTCCCAGGCAAACCGTGCCTTGAGGTCTCTGTAGAGGTGAAGGGAAGAGTGGGGTGAGAGAGGGGGGGAGGGGGGGGGGAGGGACGGGCTTCACTGGCAAAGTGAGGTTATGTAGGGAACATGAGGGCATGTGGGAATTGTAGTGATCAGGCCTCCAAATTGGTGATGAAGCAGGCTGGGACATCAGACTCCTCAGGCAGTTACTCTACACAGAAAAACAACTCTGATCCACCACAAGAAGCCTGGAAAAGGCCTGAATCGGCGTAAAAAGACAGCAATGACAGGGCCTGAACGTGTGATCAACAGTTTATTAAAATGATAAGTGATGGACGTCAGACAGGAAAGAGGTGGGACAGGAAAGAGGTCGGACTATCGCTCGAGATAAGAAGAGTTGGCAGGAAGACCCGGAAGCTGCAGCGCACAAGGCTTCCAGCAGAAGAGGGGGCCTGAAAGGGGCCTGAGTCACCGACAGTCATGACATGTGCAGTTCGGTGACTGTAAGCGGAGTGAGGGGTCATTGGGTCACCTGGCTGACTGGCGGAGGGCGGGATGGTAGTGCTCCCCCTCTGTGATGTCCGCTATGCTCACCCACCTGGTGCATGCGACGACACGGCAGGGGCGGACAAGAGCGGAGATGCAGAAGGAAGAGTTAGGGGGCGATGGCAGTGCTTGGGAGGAGGCAGGGGGGCATAGGAAGAAGGGAGAGGTGAGGGTGAAGAATTGGGATGAGTATGGCAGGTGCTGGATACATGGGAAGAATGTGCAGAACGATGGGAAGAACGGACAGAACGATGGGAAGAATGTGCAGAACGATGGGAAGAATGGACAGAACGATGGGAAGAATGGACAGAACGATGGGAAGAATGGACAGAACGATGGGAAGAATGGACAGAACGATGGGAAGAGTGGACAGAACGATGGGAAGAACGGACAGAACGATGGGAAGAAAGGACAGAACGATGGGAAGAACGGACAGAACGATGGGAAGAATGGACAGAACGATGGGAAGAAACAGGGCAAGACCAGCCGTGCAGTGACATTTGCGTGTGACCAAATGATTCGATTTCACAAAAACCAAAACCAATGCACATACTCACTCGAATGCACATACTCACTCGAATGCACATACTCACTCGAATGCACATACTCACTCGAATGCACATACTCACTCGAATGCACATACTCACTCGAATGCACATACTCACTCGAATGCACATACTCACTCGAATGCACATACTCACTCGAATGCACATACTCACTCGAATGCACATACTCACTCGAATGCACATACTCACTCGAATGCACATACTCACTCGAATGCACATACTCACTCGAATGCACATACTCACTCGAATGCACATACTCACTCGAATGCACATACTCACTCGAATGCACATACTCACTCGAATGCACATACTCACTCGAATGCACATACTCACTCGAATGGACCGTAATGTTTCACATCGCCTGTATCACTCACTTGGACTCACTGTACTCCTCCTCGTCCAGCTTTATCGCAGCCGCTTGGTCTGCTCCAATCGCCACTGGTGTCACACGTCCCCTGTATCACTCACTTGGAGTCGCTGTATTCCTCCTCATCCAGCTTGATGGCAGCTGCTTGCTCCGCCCCAATGGCCACAGTGAACACCCCGCTGATGTCACACGTGCCGTTCTCCACAGGCGCCTGCACACGCCGATACCACCAGTACGAGTGCACGCCCAGGAACCGCACTGCACCGGGCTCCACCGTCACGCCCAGCTCTCTGCTCAGCAGCCGCACCACGCTGTCCTCTGGGCGCTCCCCCGGCCGCATGCGCCCCCCCATGAACCTGTGTGAGGGGGGAGGGAGGGGGAAGGGGGGAGGGTGGGCAAGTGGTTGGGAAAAGAGAGGAGCGGGGATTGGGTGTGTTGTGGTTCTGAGGTCCCTGAAAGGAGCTCGGGTTGGTAGCAGTACCGGTGCCCACCTCCCCCGGGCGCATAGGCCTTCATTGGAACCCGGGCGGCAGTGGCGGAGGGCAGACGGGAAAGGGAGGGAATGGGGTTCAGTGCGGCAGCAGCAGCAATACCGCTAGCTCATGAGTCCTTAAGAGGCGCCTCAAAAGGCAGCAATACCGCGTGCTCATGAGTCCTTTTGAGGCGCCTCAAAAGGCAGCAATACCGCGTGCTCATGAGTCCTTTTGAGGCGCCTCAAAAGGCAGCAATACCGCGTGCTCATGAGTCCTTTTGAGGCGCCTCAAAAGGCAGCAATACCGCGTGCTCATGAGTCCTTTTGAGGCGCCTCAAAAGGCAGCAATACCGCGTGCTCATGAGTCCTTTTGAGGCGCCTCAAAAGGCAGCAATACCGCGTGCTCATGAGTCCTTTTGAGGCGCCTCAAAAGGCAGCAATACCGCGTGCTCATGGGTCCTTTTGAGGCGCCTCAAAAGGCAGCAATACCGCGTGCTCATGAGTCCTTTTGAGGCGCCTCAAAAGGCAGCAATACCGCGTGCTCATGAGTCCTTTTGAAGAGCCTCAAAAGGCAGCAATACCGCGTGCTCATGAGTCCTTTTGAGGCGCCTCAAAAGGCAGCAATACCGCGTGCTCATGAGTCCTTTTGAGGCGCCTCAAAAGGCAGCAATACCGCGTGCTCATGAGTCCTTTTGAGGCGCCTCAAAAGGCAGCAATACCGCGTGCTCATGAGTCCTTTTGAGGCGCCTCAAAAGGCAGCAATACCGCGTGCTCATGAGTCCTTTTGAGGCGCCTCAAAAGGCAGCAATACCGCGTGCTCATGAGTCCTTTTGAGGCGCCTCAAAAGGCAGCAATACCGCGTGCTCATGAGTCCTTTTGGCGCCTCAAAAGGCAGCAATACCGCGTGCTCATGAGTCCTTTTGGCGCCTCAAAAGGCAGCAATACCGCATGCTCATGAGTCCTTTTGAGGCGCCTCAAAAGGCAGCAATATCGCGTGCTCATGAGTCCCCCTGCCCAAATGTTCCCCCCTGCCCCTGGGAAGCGGAGATAGAGGGCGGTGGGGACAGGTGCAGAGAGGTCTGGGCGGGGTTTGGGGCAGCAGGAGGGCACGTGGGGTTGCGGGAAACGGACGGAGGAAGAGGCGGGAGTAGACGGGTGTGTCACGGGTGGGTGAAGCGCATGAGATGGATGTGGTTAGGATGGGTGCAATGGGATACCAGGCATACATGAGTGCTGTGTGTGCGAGAGGGTGGAGTATGCAATGAGTGGGATACATGGGTCTCAGTTATTCTTTTTAGGCGCCTCACTGGGACCTTCCACCACATCACCCCCACTGCTGCACTGCCCCCATTGACCCATCGATCCCTGCCCCTGACCCACCGAACCCACTCAAACCGCACTAGGCCGCACCCCACGGCTCACCACCAGTCGGGCTGCGGCTCCACTTTCCGCTTCCCCAGCAGTATTCTGCAATTCTCGGAGCTGTCTGTATCGAGGATGAAGAAGTCCGCGCACGCCTTCACCAGGCAGTCCAGCGCGCGCCCGTACTCCGCGTCCGCCAGGAAAACCCCCGGCGATTTGTAATTACCCGTCTCAAAGTGGGGTATGGCGCGCTTGTACCCCGCCATTTTGGGGGTTGAGCGCGCGGCTGGAGTGGGAGAGGAGGGGAGGGGCGGAGAGGGGCAACGAGGGGCGGGGAGAGGTGGAGAGAGGCAGAGAGGGGCGAGAGGAGAAGCGAGAGCGCGACCTCACCAACTAGACCAGCGCCGCGACCAACGAGACTGATCTGCGGGGACTGGTGGCGATCGACTGTTATTTGCGACGTGACTCTCATGAGAAGAGCATCAATGCGGGCAGCGAGACGCAACGAGGGACGGGCGCCGGGTGGGGAACAGCGAGCGCGCAAAAGCGAAACGAGCTGAACGAAGAGTTACCAGCAGATAAAATTATCCCGAGACAAGGGCGCGCGTTGAAGTGCGGGAGTCGCCAAAGTGGTGCCGTTGAGATCGCGTCAGCCGTGAGTATTGCGTGCCTGCGAGGAGAGGAAGAGGCTTGCTCGCATCACCTGATCATACCACGTGGTTTTGGTGAGAGCAGATACTCGTTTGTGTGAGTTCGTTAGCGTCTGAACAAACTAGCTTTGTGTGCAAAAATATGTGGTACAAGCAGAAGCAAGGTTAGGATTACGGTAGGCAGAGAAAATATAAGAATCGACAAAAAAATATCTATCTAAGCTGAATGATAATGACACAAGGGTCTGAACATAACACATGCTGCTGTGTCTGTGTGTTAATCCTCAAACGACAATCGTGACGTATTCTCCCGGATATAAGACCCCTCGGAAAACAAGACCCCCGGGTCTGTAATACGGGGGTGGGTCTTTTATTTTGGCAGGTTTTCACTACACCCCCCCCTTGAGGGGGTAACATTACTAGACCCCCCCCCCCGAGCCTAGATACTGCTTCAATTGGGGTTCTCTTGTTCATTTTCGTGCCCACACTAACAATGCTAAGAGGTTTAGATGTCCATAAACCTACACTGGGTTGATTGTTCAAGGATCACAGTGCATGCATGCTGCAGCATACCACATTAGAAGGCAAAGAATCTTGCCATGTAACGCTGGATCACCCTTAATGTGCCATTTCGTCGATTTCGACCAATAAGAAGCCATACCCAGATTGAAATGCGAAATACTCACATCCGCGGTCCTATCCATGATTAAAAAAAAAAATGCTGAAGCACCCACAACAGCTAAGCAGTCAAATACACTTTCAAAAAATATGTCCATTTGATAAGACCCAGGTACTACACATTTCTAAGCCTTTGACAAGGACCCCCCCCCCCCCCCCCCCCCCCCCCTTTTTTCTCTGAATTTTTCATAAGACCCTAGGGTCTTTTATCCGGGAGAATACGGGTAGATTCCGCTGAGGACATGTCACAAAAGAAAGTGTCACACACGTGATCAGAAACAAGAAAGAGGGTTTTCTTTAGCAGGCAGTTGAGTACATATAGCAAACCCTAATTTGGGCTGTACTCGCTATAGAGTACCCCACTGCAGGCTAGACAAACATCACATTCTGACACACCCCCATAGTCAAAGTGGGGTACAATCAACACAACAAGCAGGCAGAGCAGTAGTTCACAATGATAAGCAAAGCTAGAGACTATCACAGAGGGCAAGTGAGGAGGAGGAGAAACTGTGGGGGCGAGAAGATGGGAGGCGACGGCTGAAGCTGCAGACATACGGGCAACAGGAGTGCGCAGCACTGTCGCTACCAGGCGCAGAGCCCCGGACTACACGGCGACAAGCACAGCTGGCTCTCAGTACTCCCAGGAGTGCTCACACTGTGGCTACCAGGCGTAGAGCCCCGGACTACATGGCCACAGACGCAGCAAGCTCTCTGGACTACAGGCGCTGCGGACGACAAGACGGCTGCCTCCACTCAACTTCCCCCAGCTGTCCCACACCCCTTTCACACACCCCCTGCTGTACCTCTAGCACTGCTCACACGCCACCCCCCTCGTACCACTCCGACGGCTCCAACACATCCACCCCCCTCAGCGGTAGCTGCAGCAGTGGGAGACGGAGGAGGAGGAGGAGCAGGGGATGGCGCACACGCATCCGTCACCCCCATACTCGCCACCCCCACACTTGCCACCCCCAAACCCTAACACAGGCAGCAGCGGGGGGGCGGTGCGCGGGCAGCAGCTCGGGGGATGGCGCGCGGCTCCCCAGGGCGCCGCGACGGGGCAGCGGGGGGCCGCGCGCGGCTCCCCAGAGCGCCGCGACGGGGCAGCGGGGGCCGCGCGCGGCTCCCCAGGGCGCTGCGACGGGGCAGCGGGGGCCGCGCGCGGCTCCCCAGGGCGTCGGGACGAGGTTGTGGGGGACCGCGCGCGGCTCCCCAGAGCGTCGCGACAGGGTCCCGGGGGGCGACGCGCAGATCGACGGGGCAGAAAACCGCCGCGCGCTCGGGGCGCGCGGCGGGAAGAAAAAACGCCGCGCGCCCTGAGCGCGCGGCAGGCAGCAAACATCGCGCGCCCAGGGCGTGCGATAGGCAGGACAGCAGCGGAAGCATCGGGCGGGACCACCCACAGGATCGACCCAGGAGGGTCGACCTGCTCTGATACCATGTTAAAACAGCAGGCTAGGATCAGAAACAAGAAAGAGGGTTTTCACTAGCATGCAGTTGAGTACATATAGCAAACCCTAATTTGGGCTGTACTTCTTAGAATCTAGGCAATGGAATGGTTGGATTGCATGAAACAAGGGTACAAGTATAACCCTAACTTTTGGGTTGTACCCCATAAGGGCTACCCCACTACAGCCTAGACAACACTAACACATATATATAATTTGACACACCCCCATAGGCAAAGTGGGGGAGAACAAGGGGTCACACGACCTGTCAAGAGAAGCAAAGCAAACCCAGGGTGGATCACAACGTCACCACACACTGAGCACAAGCAAATGGCCACAAGGCCAGTCCACATGCAAAGCAATATATGCAGCAAATACAGTACAGTGATCACTACCTAGCAAGAACAAGCATGCAGAACATATATATATAGATCACAGTACAAGCAAAGTCTACAGCAAGTGTGGAAACGTAGGCACAAGGCCTAACAGAGTACAAAAGCACTGATGATCACCAGACGGAAGTGCCTTGGTGAATATATCAGCAGTGTTGGCCCGAGTGGCCACGTGTGCAAGACGAAGCTGACCACGCTGCTGCAACTCTCGAGCCAGGAAGTAACGCAGAGCGATGTGCTTCGTTCTGTGCTCCGGTCTGTGCTCCTCACACAAGGCAATGGCAGCCTTGTTGTCGACGTACAGAACTGGAGGAGAACAAGGCCTCTCTCCCAAGTCGGTCTGCAGGTAGGTGAGCCAGCGTAACTCCTGAGCAGCCATGGCTGTGGCGTAGATCTCAGCCTCACAAGTGGAGCTGAGAACAAAAGACGAGCGAGTAGAACGCCAAGAAACAGAACCAGAGCCAAGGCTGAAAGTGTAACCCTGTGACGACTGCTGCGTAGCCTGGTCGTCAACCCAAGAAGCGTCTGAGTGCCCAGTGAGGACCACCTCTCGCCGTCCTCCAAGCACGAGCCCCATGCCCGATGTACTGCACAAGTAGCGCAGTACCCTCTTCGCAGCATCCCAATGCACCACCTTTCGGTGCCGACCAGGAGCCACGTAGCGAGCCAGAAGGCCAAGAGGGTACGCAAGGTCAGGTCGAGTGCAAGTCATCAGGTACATGAGGCAGCCCACTAGCTCTGGTAAGGACCACTCGGCTCTACGGACTCGTCCGAAGGTGGAGCTGAGAGCGAGTGACCTGTAGCCAGAGGAGTGGACTGTGGCGAGGACCAGGTGAAGCCGAAGCGCTCAAGGACCTGCTGCACCATGTGTGACTGAGTCAGTGTGATGGTGCGGCGTGCTCGGTCCCGGGTGATCTGCAAGCCAAGGTAGCTGCGCAGCTCACCCAGGTCTGTGCACATGTGTCTCTTCTGCAGCTCGGACTTCACCAGGGCGAGGGCCTCAGTGTCAGCAGTGGCAAAGACCAAGTCGTCGACGTACACGAGGATATAGAATGGCGGCAGCGAAGTGTCGGTGCGCAAAAACAGCGACGGGTCAGCAGTCGAAGGCGCAAACCCAAGAGCCGCAAGCGTAGTCCTCAGTGTGTCGTGCCACTCACGAGGTGCCTGGCGGAGACCGTAGACTGGCCGGCGGAGGCTCCACTGGGTACCAGGAGGGAACGACCCAGTGAAGCCAGGCGGGCGGCGCAGCCAGATCTCCTCGTGCAGGCTGCCCTGTAGGAAAGCTGTGCTGAAGTCAAGGGAGTGAAGCTCGTAGTCACGCTGAGCGGCAACGTGCAGCAGAACCCGAAGAGTGGTCATCTTCGGGGTGGGGGAGAAGGTCTGGAAGAAGTCAACTCCCTCTCGCTGACTGAAGCCTCGAGCAACGTAACGAGCCTTGAAGACAGGCGGAGAACCTGACGGCCGCTTCACCCTGAAAATCCACATGCCATCGACGATGTTCGCCCCGGGAGGGGGAACCTCATCGACGTAAGTGCCTGTGGACTTCCAGGATGCCATCTCTGCGTCCATGGCTGCCTGCCACTGAGAGGAGTACTCACCCGCGATCGCCTCAGCGTAAGAGCGTGGGGTCGGGATGTCCAGTGCATCCGGGTCTCCCTCAGGGGCAAGCAGCATGGCCATGAGATGAGGCGCAGCGGCTGCAAGACACTCAAGGTCCTCGTGCCTGTCCTCAAGGACGTCCGTGCTCAAAGCACACTTACCCCCGACGGACGGAGGACAGACAAACTCAGACTCAGCAACAAGGCTAGCAGCGTAGTCTAGACGACAGGCAGCCGCAAAGTCAACAAGCTCAGCAACCAAAGCAGACGCAGCAGCAGACTCAAACGAGGGGTCAGTGACAACAGTGGCGAGCAGACGCGTGACAGTAGGGTGCTCAACACGAAACCGGTCAGACTCAGGGTCCGGAACGTGAGGCAAGGAAGACGCAGGAGGAGACGGCAGAGGAACCGACTGTGGTACAGAGGAGGGACGACGGACGACAAAGTGCGCGGTGGGGACAGGCGACGGACGCGGACGAGGAACACGACGAGTGGAACTACCAGAACGAACAGGCGAGACAGGACGCGACGCAGGCTCACGACGCTCAGTAAGGCCCCCTGACTGCTCAGGGTAAGGAGAGGGAGCAGGCAGCGGCGAGCCAGGCAGTAACGGAAGACCAGTAGAAGACGGGAGGGTAAGAACCTGGCGAAGCACAGAGTCAGGGGGCGGCTGAGACGACGGAGACGGCGGAGCGAAGAACAGTCGCGGTTGTGCAGTACCAGTAGCACCAGTAGCTCCAGCACCTCCAGCAGCTCCAGTACCGCCAGAAACTCCAACACCCCCAGCGCAAGCTCCTCCAGGACCAGCGCCACCAGCAGCAGCACCCCCAGAACCGGCACCCCCAGTCCCAGGGTCTCCAGTCGCAGTGTCCCCAGCAGCGGCACCCCCAGACACAGTACCCGCAGCCCCAGCAGCTCTAGTACCACCAGTACGAGCACCTCCGGGACCGATGACTCCAGCACCTCCAGTAGGCAAAGCACCAGCACCACTCCTAGCTCCAAGGACGTCAGCAGAAGGACCTCCAGCAGTAGAGCCCCGGGCTCCAGTAGCGCGACCCTGACGGCGACCGTACCAGTCGTGCAGCTGCTGGGAGGTGAGAGGCACACGCGGACGAAGGCGGCCACTCCAAGGGGACCGCGCACCAGCAGACGCAGCACCCCCAGACCCAGCACCCCCAGGCTCAGCACCCCCAGACTCAGCACCCCCAGACCCCTCACACGTAGGCTCCGCATCTCCAGGCTTTGCACCTCCAGTCTCCGCACCTCCAGACTCCTCACACACCCGCAGGCTCAGCACCCCCAGGCTCCGCACCTCCAGGCTCCTCACGCGCAGGCTCAGCACTCCCAGACGCAGCACCTCCAGGCTCCTCACGCTCAAGCTGAGCACCCCCAGGCCCCGCACCCTCAGTCTCCTCACGCGTAGGCTCCGCACCCCCAGGCTCAGCACCCCCAAGCTCCCCACCCCCAGGCCCAGTACCCCCAACGACAGCACCACCTCCAGCAGGACCGGAGTCACCAGTGACCTCAACAGGTGCAGGCACGGGAGGGTCTACCTGAGAAACACCTGAGGGAGCAGGACCTGGCGCGGGGAGGGGGTCTACCTGGGGAGGACCTGGAGCGAGGAAGAGCGGCGGGGGGGTGCGAGGAGAAGTACGGTAGGGAAAGAGACGGTAGAAGGGAACGGACTCGTCAAAGGTGACGTCCTGAGACGCAAAGACACGGCGCGAGGTGGGCTCGTAGAACTGCCAGCCAGGCGCGTCAAGAACAAAGCCAAGGAAAACACAAGGAATGGCGCGAGCGGAGAGCTTGTCCGCAGTAGTATCGCGGACAAACGCACGAGCACCCCAGACCCGGAAACGCGACGCATCGCCAACCTCCCCCGTCCATAGCAGTGTGGGCGAGGTCTCCGGCAAGGAGACACGGGGCTAGAGGTTGAGCTAATGCGCGGCGTACCGGACCGCAAACGGCCACAGAAAATGGGGGGCAGCCGCATGGATCATGGAGGTACGAGCGACCTCCATGACTAAGCCAATGCAGCGCTCAGCAACCCCATTCTGCTACGGAGATGCCGGAAGCGTGAACGTCTGTCGGATGCCGTGCTCCGCAAAGAAGGCTCGCAAGAGGTTGGAGGAGAACTCACCACCTCTGTCAGAGTGCAGACGCAAGACAGGAAAGTCCGACTGGAAACGCTCGCGGAGCTGGAGACGAGTAGCGCGGATCCAGGGGATCAAAACATCAGGGACCTGCCCCTTGCTGCGCAAGGGGAAGACCGTGGTGTAGCGCGTGTAGTCGTCGACTACCAGCAGGAAGTACCGCTCGCGGCCCTGTCCCTGGACGCGGGCCGGGCCCCACACGTCCAGGTGGAGAGTCTGCAGTGGAGCCTCAGTGGGAGGGAACGAGGAGGAGTGAGGAGCGGCGCGCTGCCACCCCTCGACGCAAGGAATGCAGGGAGGCGCAGGCGAGGGAGGGAGGGCAGGGAGAGACCTGGGAAGCCCAGAGACCAGAGAGCGAGAGTGCATGCTACGAAGACGAGGCAGGGAGGGGTGACCAAGGCGGTGGTGCCAAAGGAGAGTGTCGTGGGACAGGCGGCGGCACTCACACTGGGTGGCAACCTGAGCAGACGCGTACAGCTGTGGAGACAAAGGCGTGTAGCGTGAAACAGCGGTGAGGGTGTATTGATTGGACTCCGGCTCACGTGTGAACGTAGCCAGGTGACGGCCGGTCTTGGAGCATGTACAGATCGCCACACGCTGTCCTCCAGGAGTCCAAGTGTCAACCCAGTGATCCTGAAGGACGGCGTTGCTCACCAGGTTCGTAGAGAACGAGGGAACATGGAGACCAGACAGCTCACCAGACGGGACCGCTGGGCACGGAAGCACAGTCGTGGCCCGTGCAAGCACTGGACCCCCAGAGGGGTCAGCCAGTGAGACAGGAACAGGTGCAGGGAGAGGTGTGACAGTGGTGCTATCGCGAAAGAAGCAGCGCGAAGCACCAGAGTCAAGTGTGAACGTGTGCAAAGCCTGAGCGGACGCAGTACTAGGGAGGGCAGACTCACTAGCACCTAGGGCTGCAGTCTCTATACCTGGGTCAGGCAGCACACACAAGTAACAGTCACCCTCAGCACTAACAGTCAATGCATACATAGCAGCAAGAATAGCATCATCGTCCTGATCAAAGATAGGAACACCACGCCTAAGCAGATCTGCCCAGTTGGGGAACTCAGTAGCATCAGGATACTTTGCGCGCCAGGCGTCACTAAGCCTAGCGAAGCAGCGGAACTCAGTGTGAAAACCGTCGCAGGTGCGACCCTGGCGGGGACCTGTGCGAATGACATAGGGGCAGCGGTCAGAGCCCTTAGACGCCCCACGCCCAGCATACCAGTCATTGAGCTGCTGGGAGGTGAGAGGCGGACGCTGCTGCTGCTGCTGTGGCTGCTGCTGCTGCTGCTGCTGGCCGCCACCGGTGCCACTCTTCTGTCCAGATCCACCTCCACCCCCACCTCCACCACCAGTGCCGCTGCCTCCTCCTCCACCACCTCCGCTGCCGCCACCATCGCCCCCGGTCCTGCCACCACCCCTCCCACCACCTCCACCCCCACGGCCACCCCCACCACCTCCGCCACCCCTGCCGCCTCCACCACCGCCTCCCCCGCCGCCACTGCTGCCACCGCTGCCGCCCTTGCCTCCGCCGCGCTTCCCACCAAGAGCAGAAGCGGCGTTGACCTTCTCAGCGCCGAGAAGGTCAACTGCAGTAGCAGCAGAGGCGTAGGAGGGGGCAAGAGGGGAGGGGGAGCACCCCTCAAAGAGGGGAGTGCGGGGAGTGCCACGAGCAGCATTCACAGCAAGAATGTTCTTCTGAGTTGCAACCAGCTGCTGCTCGAAGTCATCTAGGGTGATGGTGGGAGGGTCTTTGGCGAGTAAATAGTCCCTAACGGAACGGAGCGTGTCAGGGAGGCGGGTGACGAGGATGTAGAGGGTAAAGTACAGGGGGGGTTTGTTCTCGGCGAGGAACTCGTCACTGAGAGCGGCACGAAAGCGAGCGTCACTAGTGCGGAGGTGAGAGATGAGGTCTGCAGCAGTGGAAAACGAGGCGAGGTCGGGGAAAAGGTAGGGTAGGATGAGACCGCCAACGGCGGTAGTGGCTGGGGCGAAATAGCGGGCAACTACTGTGTCAAACAACTCCTTAGCAGTCTTAAGCTGGTTGAAGTGTGCGCGCTCGGAGATAGGCAGGTGGTTGCGAATAGCTAGGCGGGCAAGGGCATCGCGGGTCTGCCATTCAGCGCGATCAGAGGCAGGAGCAGTGGCTGCGGGAGCAGGGGCAGTGCCATTGACATAGTCTAGCAGAAAAGCTCCGTCCTTGGTATTAGTCAAAAGGTACAGCTGCAAGTCACTAAGCCATGTGTCAAACTGAACAGGACTACCGTCAGGCTCAAAGTCGAGAACAGTAATAGTCGCCATGGTCACAGGGCAGGGAAATGCAGCAGGCACAGGCTAAGGCTCAGGCTCAGGCGCAGGAGGCAGGCAGGCTCAGGCAGGGCAGGGCGGCGGCACACAAGCGGGGCGGGCGGCGGGCTGTGCGCGGCAGCTGCTCGTACGCGGCGGTGGGTAGTGCACGGCGGCGGCTAGTGCGCGGCAGCTGGGTGCGGCAGCAGGCTGCGCGCGCGGCAGCAGGCTGCGTGTGGCAGAGGGTGCGCGGCGGCGGGCTGCGTGGCGACGGGCGGCTTAGGGCAGCGGGCTGCGTGCGGTAAGGGGTGCGCGGCGCGGGCTGCGCAGCGACGGGCGGCGCACGGGCAGGGCACGCGCGGCTGCGGGCTGCGCGTGGCGAGGCTGCGGCGGCGGGCGAACAGGCGGCGCAGGCGGGGCGCGCGGCGCGCAGGGCAGCAGCGGGCTGCGAGCTGTTTTCGCGGGGCGCGCGCTAAAAAAAAAAAAAAAAAAGACGCGCGTGCCTTCGAGGCGCACGCAGGCCGCAGGCAAGTCAAGGCAGGCAAGGCACCCACGGCTGTAGGTGAGGTAACGCAGTAACCGGTGGGCCCGAACTTAGGTCCTAAGACCTACCGCTCTAGATACCATCTCAGAATCCAGGCAATGGAATGGTTGGATTGCATGAAACAAGGGTACAAGTATAACCCTAACTTTTGGGTTGTACCCCATAAGGGCTACCCCACTACAGCCTAGACAACACTAACACATATATATAATTTGACAGTACTCGCTATAGAGTACCCCACTGCAGGCTAGACAAACATCACATTCTAACAAAACGTATTTGTGACTAATTGTGACCTCCGAAATCATATTTGTGACTAATTGTGTATGGCTGAAAATCATGAATTGCAAATATCCAACCACTCCTGGTAAGACATCTGACTAGATCGTGCCTCATCTTGGTTCAAAGCATCACAATTTGTCACGAGTTTGCTATCGGTGTGTCACAATTAGTTGGGAACATTGTTTTCGGAGTAACACAATTAGTCACAAATAAAGATTGTGACATTTTCTTTTGTGACATGTCCTGAGCGGAATGTACCCTCAGTACCTTTCATCACCACCACCACCACCACCATCGTCATCCTCGTCGTAAAATCCTTCCTCCTCGAATTCCTCCTCCTGGTAGTCCCCTTCATCCTCCACATACCCCCCACCAACCACCCCCGACCCACCATCACCTCCCCATTCCCCTCCCCTCTTCTCATGCCCTGCCCCTTCCCTACCTCCACCTCACCTCCCGCCTCCCTCTCCCTCCCCTTCCACCCCCTCCCCGTCCTCCCCTCTCTCCTGCTCCCCCTCTCCCTCTTCCCCTGCCCCTGCCACGACCCCTTCCCACCCCTCTACCCTTGGCTTCCAAGGGAGGCGGGGCGGTGGAGGAGAAGGAATGCGGCCGGCGTTGCCCCAACGGAACATCCTCCATATAAGCCTCCTCGTCTTCCTCACCATCTTCCTCCCTTCCATAATCACTGTACTCCACGTTATAGTCACCTCTGGAATAGTCATCATTCCCATCCTCATCCCCATACCCCTCCTCATTCACACTCTCCCCGTACCCACCCCTCCCACTCCCTCCACCATAAGACTCCTCCTCCTCATACCCATACTCTGGCACAGCCCTCCCTCCTCTCCCACCACCTCTCTCTCCCCTCCCCACTCCCTGCCCTCCCACCCCTCTTCCTGCACCTCTCCCTCCTCGTCTACCCCTTCCTCTTTCCCTCCCAACACCTCCCCTTTCCCCTCCACCACCACCACCAGCACCATCACCCGCAGCACCAGCAGCACCAACACCACCATCACCACCATCAACACCAGCACCGGCGCCCGGGTCATCAGCGAGGGCGACGCCATGGAAGTGTTTGAGGTGGAGGCGCAGCTTGTACTCGTGGAAGTACCGCTTGCTGCACCCCGCCTCCCCGCACGCAAACACGCGCTCCGATTCCTCCAGCTTGCGCCGCCGCCGCCGCCTCTTCGGCCGCACCTCCTCCTCCTGCTGCTCCTCTTCCTGCCCCTTCAGGCCCTTCTTCCCCCCTGCACCCTTCCCTCCCTTCCCTCCCTCTCTTCCCTCTTGTCCCTCCTCGCCTCCTGTTTCCTCCCCCCATGCCTCCTCACCGCCTTCCTCCTCCTCCTCTCCACCATACCCCTCCATGCCACCCCCCTCCCCCATCGAATCCGCACCTCCCATGTCCTCCCCAAAACCATCACTGCCCACACCGCCATCATCCATCCCCTCATCCGCACTCCCCATCTCGTCGTCTACCGCTCCCTCCCCTTCCTCCTCGCCTTCCCCCTCGCCTAAGTCACTCGCCCCAGTGACCTCCTCCCCCTCGTTATAATCACCCTGCTCACTCTCCCTCTCCATACCCTCCCCATCCTCCTCCTCTGCCCCAAACCCGGCCCCATAGCCAGCCGCACCCCCACTATACCCACCAGAGCCACGGGCATCCTCAGCAGCATCATTTGATTCCCTTGCCGACCCACCTCCCCCTCTCCCCCTCCCCCTCCCTCTGCCTCTCCCCACTCCCCTGCCTCTGCCTCTCCCCCTTCCCCTGCCTCTCCCCCTACGGCTGTCTGCCACGTCCCCCTCTCCTGCTCCTCCCCCGTCCTCTCCTCCAAACGACCCTCGCCCTCTCCCCCTCCCCCTTCCACGTCCCCTCCCCCGCCCCCTCCCCCTCCCGCTGCCCCTACCCGCTTGTTCTCTCACCCCTCCTCCCTCTCCTCCTGCCTCTGAGATAGAATTAAGTGACCGCCCTCGCTTTACTGCCATTCCCTTTCGCAATCCAGCACCCATGCTTCCCCCCTCCTCCCCATCCTCACTCTCCCCCTCCTCTCCATCCCCCCTCTCGTCACCGTCCCCATCCCCCTCTGCCCCATCCCCCTCTGCCCCATCCCCCTCCGCCCCTTCCCCAAACCCCCTTATCTCACCCTCAGTTCCCTCCTCCCCGCCCTGACCCCAACTCTCTGATCCCCTCCCTTTCTCACTCTCTTTCTCCCTCCTCCCCTCACTCCCCCCCTCACTCTCCTCCCCTGCCTCCTCCCGCCTCCGTTTTCCTCCCCTTTCCTCCTCTCCCCTTTCCCCCTCTCCTTCCCTCTCGCTCCCCTCTCCTGCCCCCCTCTCCCCCTCTCGCTTTCTCCTCCCTCGCTCACCTTTCTCCTTGCTCCCCTCACCGCCCCCCTCACTCTTCCTCCCTTGCCCATCGTCCCCCTTCCGCCCCTCCCTCTCCGCCCTCCCCCCACCTTCGTCTTGCGACCCATCTGATCCCTCGCGCGCTGCAGACCGCTGCTGGGGCACCCACGGGTGGAGCAGAGGGGCAGGGCGGAATGAATCAAGAGAAGGAAGAGGAGAGAGCATGGGAGAGCCGAGTGACGGCTGACGGCCACTCGTTGCAGCTGGGGTTGAGGCGCCTCAAAACTAGCATTGTCCAAGAGCACCAGGCAGGGCGGTGGGACAGACAGACTGGAGGAAGGAACGAATTGGAGCTCCTGCAGGTACTGGCGATGGCGCACGAGAAAGAAGCAAAGCGGCACACGTAAAAGAACAAAAAAAAAAAGGTGGAGATCTGCAGCTGCTGCTTATCATCATGTACCAACGGAAGGTGCACGCGCAGCAGCATGTTACCGTGCTTCCGCTGTTGGGACTCGCTATAGGTGCCGTGGGTGTTATGATTGACTCGTTGTAACCATACCTGCTACTGCATGCTTTTGTTATTGCCATATGCCGACGCCAGGTGCAAGCGCAGCTTAATCTCGTGCCTTAGGTGCTGAAACTCGTCATACATCCATCAAGTGTTGCGACTCGTTATAATCGTACCTGCTGCTGTTTATCGCCATGTGCGGACGCGAGGTGCATGCGCAGCTTGTTCTCGTGTGCGAAGCGCTTGCCGCACTCGAGGATGGGGCACGTGTGGTAGTTCTCCCCCGTGTGCGTGCGCATGTGCGAGCGACGGTTGAAATCTAGAGAGAAGGCCTGTTGTGAATGTGTGTATGCATGTGGCAGGGCAAAGACAAAGAAGACAGGCTTAGAAGGGGAGGATGGGGCACGTGTGGTAGTTCTCCCCCGTGTGCGTGCGCATGTGCGATCGCCGGTTGAAGTCCAACGAGAACGCCTGTTGTGCACGTGTGGATGCACGTGGCCAGGCAAAGACACAGACAGGTTAGAAGGGGAGGATGGGGCATGTGTGATTGTTCTCCCTCGTGTGCGTGCGCATGTGCGAGCGGCGGTTGAAATCCAACGAAAACGCCTGATTCTCCGTGCATGTGATTTGCGAGGGAAGGGGGAATTGATGGGACCGGTTCGAAGGCAACGAAAGGAACGACGGATACCGTTTACACAGCAGCGAGGAGCAGACGGGTAACACTTGCAACGCAAGGGGGAGGTTGGGGCAGCTACAGTGGTGCACTCATAGTCACATGCTCATCACCACCTCCCGCAGACTATCCAAGAGAAGGAACTCGCGCTGAAAGGGACTCACTCAATACGTGACAAGGAAAACACACCTAGCCTTGCCCGCCCCTCATAGTGGCACATAAACACGCCTCGTTGCACCCCTCATCACCTTGCTGCACCCCTTATCACCTTGTTGCACCCCTCATTACCTTGCCGCACCCCTCATAGGGGCAGAAGAAGCGCTTCTCGCCTGTGTGGATGAGAAAGTGGCGCTTCAGCTTGCTGCTGTCCACAAACCGCTGCCATTCCAAGCATGGGGAAAGAGGGGACGAGAGGGAGAGAGAGAAACAACAAAGCGCTCTTGTTTATGATGAACAGTAAACAAATGGTGCTTCCATCTTGTTGTTTCTGTCCATCTTGTTGTTTCTGTCCATCTTGTTGTTTCTGTCCAGCGTAGGGGTTTCGCAAGGAGAGCGTTTGGGTGAGAATCACTTTGCTGCACCTCTCACTTTGCTGCACCCCTCACCTTGCTGCACCCCTCACCTTGCCACACCCCTCACCTTGCCGCACCCCTCCTCACCTTGCCGCACCCGTCACCTTGCCGCACCCCTCCTCACCTTGCCGCACCCCTCACCTTGCCGCATCCCTCATAGTGGCACACGAACTGCCTCTCCCCGTGCACGTTCGAATGCTTCCTCAACCCCCCCGCATCCAGAAACGCCTTTCCGCACCCATCTACACCGCACACAAACGGCCCTCCACCCAACCCACCAACCCCACCACCAGCACCAGCACCAGCAGCAGCAGCAGCAGCAGCGCCAGCAGCACTGGCAGCAGCAGACAGACCAAAGCCAAGGCCGGTTCCAATGCTGCTGCCTCCCCCGCTCGCTGCTGCTGCTGCTGCCTGCTCCTCCCCCACTGCTGCCCCTGCTGCACCTGTAGCACCGCTCTGCACACCACCCGCACCGCTCTGCATGCCGCTCAGGCCACTTGCACCAGGCATGGGAATGGCACTGGTGCTCCCAGCACCTGCTGCTGCTGGGGAACCTACAGGGGCCACTCCCGCCGCTGCTGCCGCGCTCATTCCACCCCACGCCCCCCCTCCGCCCCTCCCTGCTTCCCCTACCACTCCTCCACCTCCCCCTCCCCCTGCGCCTCCCCCGCCCCCTGGCAGTGCGCCCATGCCACCAGCCATGCTGCCATGGGCAGCGGCGGGCAGCTGCAGCATCGCCAGCCCCTGCATTGTCCCCCCTGCTGCTCCATGTGCGTGCCCCCCAGGCACTCCCCCTTGCCCTTGCATCCCCCCTTGCATCCCCCCTTGCCCTTGCGTGTCATGAGGCGGCCCTGATTGGCCCCCTGTTGCCCCGCCTGCTGCCCCGCCGCCTGCCATTCCTGATGGCCCGCCAGCTGGCATGCCGCCGCGGGCAGCAAGGGCGGCAGAGGAGGGCGAGAGGTGGGCGGCGGAGGGCAGCGAGAGGCGGAAGATGGTTGGCCCGCCGCCCGACAAGGAAGTGGGGGCGGCGACAGGGGCGAGGGGAGAGGGCGTTCTCAATGCTGTCCCTGCTTGGGGTGGTGTCGCTGCTGCTGGGGGTGCTGCCGCTGCTGATGGTGGAGTTGCTGAAAGGGGAGAGCCCCACAGGGTGGGGTCCGCTCCTCCCCCCTGCCCGCCCTGCCCTGCCTGCCCCTGCCCTCCCTGCCATTGCCCTGCCTGCCCCTGCATGCCCCCCCCAGGCGCAGGGGGCATTTGCTGCTGCTGCTGACCCCCCATCTGGCCCGGCTGCTGCAGCTGCCGCTGCAGCTGCATTTGCATCTGCCCCATCTGCTGCACCTGCCCGGCATGCCCGTTCACCTGCCCATAGCCAAAAGTGGGCATCTGCTGAGAGTAGGAGCCCCCATAGGAGGAGGGGGCATTGGAGAGGTTGGGCATGGGCGGCACATGGGAAATGCTGGGCATGTTGGGCAGGTTGGGCAGATTTGGGATGTTTGCCATATTTGGCATGCTTGCCATTTGAGGAAGGTTGAGGTTGGGCATGTGGGGGAGGTTCGGCATGTGGGTAACCTGAGGCATGTTGGAGAGGCGAGGAGGAGGCGGATAGTAACCAGGGGAGGCGGTATTTCCCATATAACCCATACCCATACCACCCGCCCCAGCACCACCGGAAGCACCAGCAGCACCACTCGCGCCCTGCCACGTGGCACCACGAGGGGCAGCGGCGGCAGGAGATTGGGGGAAGCCGGGGAAGGGGCCTGGCGCGCGGGAGGATGAGGCGGAGGAGGGGGGAGGTGTGGCGGAGGAAGCAGGGGGGAAGGGGGGCGGGGGGAAGGGGCGCAGGTGTGGCATGTGCAGCTGGAAGGGGGAGGCGGACCTCGATGCGCTGGCAGGGGGGGGTTCCGGCGCCTCTGGGGGATGGGAATACGAAAAAGGGGAAGGGGGGGAGGGGGGAAGGAAGGGGAGAAAGGGAAGGGGAAAAGGGCAGCACATGGGGCGGGAATGGGAAGGAGGATCAGGGCAAGGAGAGGCAGTGGCTTGCATCTTAACCACACCGGCAGGGCGAGAAGAGGAACAGGTGACGGGTGGAGCAGGGGTATGGCTGGCAGGTAGTGGTACTATCCCTGCGCGCAGATAGGCAGTGCACTCTGTGTGTGTGCGCAGATAGGCAGTGCACTCTGTGTGTGTGCGCAGATAGGCAGTGCACTCTGTGTGTGCGCAGATAGGCAGTGCACTCTGTGTGTGCGCGCAGATAGGCAGTGCACTGTGTGTGTGTGCGCAGATAGGCAGTGCACTGTGTGTGTGTGCGCAGATAGGCAGTGCACTGTGTGTGCGCAGATAGGCAGTGCACTGTGTGTGTGTGCGCAGATAGGCAGTGCACTGTGTGTGCGCAGATAGGCAGTGCACTGTGTGTGCGCAGATAGGCAGTGCACTGTGTGTGCGCAGATAGGCAGTGCACTGTGTGTGCGCAGATAGGCAGTGCACTCTGTGTGTGTGCGCAGATAGGCAGTGCACTCTGTGTGTGTGCGCAGATAGGCAGTGCACTCTGTGTGTGCGCGCAGATAGGCAGTGCACTGTGTGTGTGTGCGCAGATAGGCAGTGCACTGTGTGTGCGCAGATAGGCAGTGCACTGTGTGTGCGCAGATAGGCAGTGCACTGTGTGTGCGCAGATAGGCAGTGCACTCTGTGTGTGTGCGCAGATAGGCAGTGCACTCTGTGTGTGTGCGCAGATAGGCAGTGCACTCTGTGTGTGCGCGCAGATAGGCAGTGCACTGTGTGTGTGTGCGCAGATAGGCAGTGCACTGTGTGTGCGCAGATAGGCAGTGCACTGTGTGTGTGTGCGCAGATAGGCAGTGCACTGTGTGTGCGCAGATAGGCAGTGCACTGTGTGTGCGCAGATAGGCAGTGCACTGTGTGTGCGCAGATAGGCAGTGCACTGTGTGTGCGCAGATAGGCAGTGCACTCTGTGTGTGTGCGCAGATAGGCAGTGCACTCTGTGTGTGCGCGCAGATAGGCAGTGCACTGTGTGTGTGTGCGCAGATAGGCAGTGCACTGTGTGTGTGTGCGCAGATAGGCAGTGCACTGTGTGTGCGCAGATAGGCAGTGCACTGTGTGTGCGCAGATAGGCAGTGCACTGTGTGTGCGCAGATAGGCAGTGCACTGTGTGTGCGCAGATAGGCAGTGCACTGTGTGTGCGCAGATAGGCAGTGCACTGTGTGTGCGCAGATAGGCAGTGCACTGTGTGTGCGCAGATAGGCAGTGCACTGTGTGTGCGCAGATAGGCAGTGCACTCTGTGTGTGCGCGCAGATAGGCAGTGCACTGTGTGTGTGTGCGCAGATAGGCAGTGCACTGTGTGTGCGCAGATAGGCAGTGCACTGTGTGTGCGCAGATAGGCAGTGCACTGTGTGTGCGCAGATAGGCAGTGCACTCTGTGTGTGTGCGCAGATAGGCAGTGCACTCTGTGTGTGCGCGCAGATAGGCAGTGCACTGTGTGTGTGTGCGCAGATAGGCAGTGCACTGTGTGTGCGCAGATAGGCAGTGCACTGTGTGTGCGCAGATAGGCAGTGCACTGTGTGTGCGCAGATAGGCAGTGCACTCTGTGTGTGTGCGCAGATAGGCAGTGCACTCTGTGTGTGCGCGCAGATAGGCAGTGCACTCTGTGTGTGCGCGCAGATAGGCAGTGCACTGTGTGTGTGTGCGCAGATAGGCAGTGCACTGTGTGTGTGTGCGCAGATAGGCAGTGCACTGTGTGTGCGCAGATAGGCAGTGCACTGTGTGTGTGTGCGCAGATAGGCAGTGCACTGTGTGTGCGCAGATAGGCAGTGCACTGTGTGTGTGTGCGCAGATAGGCAGTGCACTGTGTGTGCGCAGATAGGCAGTGCACTGTGTGTGCGCAGATAGGCAGTGCACTGTGTGTGCGCAGATAGGCAGTGCACTGTGTGTGCGCAGATAGGCAGTGCACTCTGTGTGTGTGCGCAGATAGGCAGTGCACTCTGTGTGTGTGCGCAGATAGGCAGTGCACTCTGTGTGTGCGCGCAGATAGGCAGTGCACTGTGTGTGCGCAGATAGGCAGTGCACTGTGTGTGTGTGCGCAGATAGGCAGTGCACTGTGTGTGCGCAGATAGGCAGTGCACTGTGTGTGCGCAGATAGGCAGTGCACTGTGTGTGCGCAGATAGGCAGTGCACTGTGTGTGCGCAGATAGGCAGTGCACTGTGTGTGCGCAGATAGGCAGTGCACTCTGTGTGCGAATGCGGCCTCGCGCTTGATCCATTTGACTCACGTTTGACCCATTTGAGCACTTTGCACTTGCCGTTGTTAAGCACCGTCTCCTGCACCACCCTGTAATGCGAATGGAGGGAGGCACAGCGCGCCGAGCACAAAAAGCTTATCAGTTAAAGATTACAGGAGAAGGGCAGATAAAGCGAGCAGATAACGGCGGGCAGGTAAAGGGCACGGGGGCGGCAACTCGGGCGGCAACGCGGGCGGCAAGGACGAGAGAGGACGAGAGAGCGCACACACGCACTCACACCTCACCAATCTGGTGCCACGTGTCAACCTACCACTGGCGGACCCATTTCGCTGCAGGCTTGCGCGCGGGGACGGGCAGCGGATGCGGCGGAACGGAGAGCGGATACGGCGGGGCGGAAAGCGGGCGCGGCGCAAAGTTGGCGGGAGGCGGGGGGGAGGGAGCCGCCGGGGGAGGGGTGTATGGTAGCTGCGGGGGAGGCGGAGAGGCGGGGATGAGCGGAGGCGCGGCGGAAGGGAAGGACCGCGGCTGTGCGGCCATGGCTGCGCGCTAGTGAAATTCAAATTACCGGTGCGCCTACATGCAGTTGAATGCACTTATACGTGCTTAGATGCGCTTATGCACGTTCGTTACTCGTTACAATCACTGCGTCTAAAAGCACGCTGCGAGTGGCAATTGGTCGCGCGATGAAAGCAAACACGGACGCGCAGGCGCAAGCGGGATTGAGCAGGAGGACCAAAAGGCATGCGCTCGAATGAGACGCTTGGAATGCGCAGATGTAGTCAACCTGGACGAAAAGTTTCTAAGATTATTCGGGAGTAGGACGGAATAAGTATCTGAAACCTAAGGACGCGGCACCTCTAGCACCATCGTGCAATCGATCCTGCGCAGGATCAAAATTTTCAGGAGTTTAAAATGGTGCTGAAAGCTGTCGATGCTTTCAGCAGGATTTCAGTACGGTGATCCTGCGATCGATCGTGCAAAATTGCTAGAGGTGCCGCGTCCTAAACCTCATCCAGGGGCCACCATGCACGTCCTAACCCTGGTTCGAGAATGCCCGATTCTTGCCGATATTGACCATTTACAGACACCATTCCCAGAATCTACTCTTTTTGCTGTAACGCCTCACGAGCAACACCGCATACCACCAGCCCTCGGACCGCAACACTGTTGGCGGCTTGGCGCGAAACGAGAGTTACTCCCGTCGCGCGCGCGACTGCAGTTCATTTTTTTTCCGTCTGGCCGCAACATGGCTACGCGATGACGTCAGAGACTCCTCGAAGGGCTGTGCGATGACGTCAGAATAACTAGGCAGACGAATCTTGTGCTTTCGGCAGCCTTGCGGTGCCATGTGCGTCGATCCGACGACCACAATTGTCAGCCCTTCTCATACCATGCTCGCACCATGCTCCTTATACCGCTTTCCGGTACCGCCTCCGTATGCCTCCCGCTAATGCCTCGTTCTAGATCCGATTTCGCTCTCCGCCGCCACTAGGAGAGTCGTCGCTGGTACCTCGCGCCTCGCCTATCCGCATACGTGTCATAGGCCTCCTCAATACACGCACCATGGCTGCTTCCGCAGCCATTGACCTAGCTGCACGTCCTAGTGTTGAGTGTGCTTGTATCGAGGACAGGGGACCTGAAGACTGGCGATGGGCGGCTCAGTGCACGATCTGGCGGATGGAGCCACCGACGGCTGTGATTGATTGTTCCATGTATGCAGCCAGTCAGCACTCGGCATCCATTCCCTCATCTGTTGGATGATCCCAAATTCGTTCTTCCCTGTGACACTATGCCACACGACACGAGCCACATCATGCAAGCGACATGGGGTGTTAGAAATGAAGCCTCCACATGGCAACCCTGTTGCACGGCTAGAGCTTACCTTATCATTGCACTCCTTTAATGTGCTCTTGCGCGTACCTAGCTTGGCATGAAAAGGCATGGCATGGGATGGTGTGGGTTGATTTGAACTGAAATGGTATTGTGTCATCTGCAATATTTTGGCTTCAACTATTGTGTTTTGGCTTGAATCTGCATGGCATTGCATGGCATGCCATGACTTGCCATCCCATGCCATTCCATACCATCACATCCCATGTCAACCTGTGGTGCAGGAGAGGATGTGAAGGCGTTCTGACAGAGGCCTTGCAGCAGGAGTTAGTGACCATGCTACAGTCACACCCGGTTAGTCACACCACCACTGCTACAGTCACACCCTGTTAGTGTCACACATCAGCATGCTGCAGTCACACTCTGCTCCCCCACTCACTTTCGATTAATGACACTCACTTGCTTGTAATCGCCCCTTCACTCAACCCACCCCCCTCCCCTCCTCTGCCGCTTTCAGCTGGGCCCTCGTTTCGCCGCTGACCGCGCCTATTCTCTGCGCTTTCTGAAGCTGCTTATAACGGAGGCAGAGAGGGGCCCGCGGGGGGAGGTGTGGGAGGAGCTCTACCCGCTCTATGTGGATGCACTGGCCGCTGCCAGGGGGAGGGGGGAGGGTGTTGAGCAGTGGGGAAGCGGAGGAAGGGGAGGAAACAGAGGAAGGGGAGGAGGCGGAGGAAGGGCAGGAGGCGGAGGAAGGGGAGGAGGCGGAGGAAGGGGAGGAGTCGGAGGAGGGGGAGCCAAGCCATGCTCTAGGTGCTGCCACTAGCTTGCCATGTCCCGTCGTTGCTCTGCTCATTGAACATGATGGGTTTGATTTGATTTGATTGGATTGGCCGAATGTTGCTTCAACCGACATGGCCTGAGTAACTCCAGCTGGTGCCTGGCTCCTATGAACAAACTTCGGATCGTGTGACTGAATCATGTGTTCTCTTTCACGCTTCTCTCCGCGTCTCTCCTCTGATGATTCCTCTCCGCCTCATCACACATGTCGAGCCTTCTTCAACCCGTGACCTGTCTTCAACCTGTGACCTGTCTTCAACCTGTGACCTGTCTTCAACCTGTGACCTGTCTTCAACCTGTGACCTGTCTTCAACCTGTGACCTGTCGTCAACCTGTGACCTGTCTTCTCTTCTGCTCGAGTTGATGCTACACCATCTGGAATGCTACACCATCTGGAATGCTACACCATCTGGAATGTTTGCCCGCCAGCTTGACATACCACCCTCGTGCTTATGCTTCCAGCTCGCACCCTCCACCTGCCATCCCTCTCAATATTCACCCATGCTTCCCTGCCAACTCCCCAATACCTTCTGCCTCGCACCACACACACCATCCCCACCGCCACACACACTCCATGGCAGACGCCACGCCCTGGTGTTTCCACACCTACGCGCTGCGCCTGCCGCCGCTCTCCTCCCGCCCACCCTACCCCCGCCTTCACGCAAGCAACTCGAACAGCTCTACCTGCCCCGCAACCTCCCACCTGGACTCCTCCTCCTATGCCTCCTCCCACCTGTGCTCCACTCACGCGCTTACCGTGCGTGTGTCGCGTGACATGCTGAGAGGCGGCACCAGGTGAGCGCTTCAACCGCCCTCTTTGATGCAACCACTCAGATGTTCCCTCCTTTTCATTATTTACGGTTAGTTTTTCGAAGTTTAGGGTTATCGCCTCCTCCGCATTGTTCAAGCACGCGTGTCTCGTGTGTGACGTTTCTGTCTAAGCGCATGCACATGTGTTGGCACTTGTGTTGCCGCATGCACCTGTAGTGTCACATCACGTGCACATGTATTGTCACATCACGTGCACAGTATTGCCACCTGCACATGTATTGCCACCTGCACATGTATTGTCACCTGCACATGTATTGTCATCTGCACATGTATTGTCACATCTGCACATGTATTGTCACATCTGCACATGTATTGTCACATCTGCACATGTATTGTCACATCTGCACATGTATTGTCACACCTGCACATGTATTGTCACACCTGCACATGTATTGTCACACCTGCACATGTATTGTCACATCTGCACATGTATTGTCACACCTGCACATGTATTGTCACACCTGCACATGTATTGTCACACCTGCACATGTATTGTCACATCTGCAAATGTATTGTCACATCAAGTGCAAAGTACTGTCACCTGCACATGTATTGTCACACCTGTTCATGGATATATTATCTCACCTCGTGGATCCCAGTAAGTCTCCCCTCGTCCCACCACCTTTTGAACTTCTCATCCTCTCCTCTTTGCCTTGCCCGCTTCCCTTCCCCATCTCCGCTTCCCATCCCTCTCCCCATCCCCCTCTCCCACCCTCCGCCCATCAGCTGCACGGCATGGCCAGCTTCGCTCTTCCTTGCAGAGGCCCTCCTCTCCCACCCATCTCTCCTCCTCCCCTCCCCCCACCGCCAATCCACGCTGCCCCTTGTTCCTACCCCCAAGCCTTCGGAGCCAGCTCAAGGCAATTCTACTGCCCCTGTGGCCGGCACTCAAGCCATGATTGCTACCCGAGAGGGAGCCTCTAAGATCCCTCTCAGCGGGCCGGTGTGCCTGGAGCTGGGGGCGGGCTGTAGGCTGCTCGGGCTGTGCCTCGCGCCCTTCCCACTGGCGAAGGTGGGTGCTCGTCCAGGAGAGGATGGGGGGAACGTGTGGTGTGCTCGACAGCATGCATTGGGTTGTGTGTGAGGGTGAGAGAGAGAGAGGGTGTGTACAGCAGTCGTGCCCTATACTATGGTCTCTTCTAGTGCTGTGAACTTGCTTGTTTACTTAATAGAGGACCATCCGAGGAAGAGGGTGTGTAGAGCAGCAAGTGCCATGTGCCACGGGCTTGTGTCCGGACATGACTGAAGGGGAGAGGAAGAAGGCGTGTGTGTGGGCTCTTTGTCATACATCTTATGCATCTCAAGAATCCCTGGCCCAAGAGGTGTTTGCGTTGGTTTTGATGCAAAAAAACAACATTGATCCGCCATCTCCCACCCTTTCCCCTCTCTCGGCTTGAAGACGGGTTGGACGGTGGGGGGTTTATCGTGACTGATGCAGATAGATTTTGCATTTCCATTTTGTAAGCCTAAAGTAGGTGACATTGTGTGGGCCAAAATAGATGATGACTATGATAAGTAGTCATCTGAAGTCGCCTCGCTTGTTAGCGGCGTATAGGCGCATCAGTCAGAAGACCTCGTGTGTGTGCAACCCATTGACTTGGTGAGTCAAAATAGGGTCCTTTTGACCTCACTTGAAGCTGCTATATCGCTAATTTGAAGGCAGAATGCTACGTGTGTGAAAAAATGGCTAGCACTGCCTTCAGATTAGCGATATAGCAGCTTCACGTGAGGTTGAGAATGTCATTTTTTGACTTACCAAGTCAATGGGTTGCACAAACGTGAGGTCTTCTGACTGATGCGCCGATACGCCGCCAACAAGCGAGGCGACCTCAGATGGTTACTTATCATAGTCGTCGTCTATTTTGACCCACACAATGTCACCAACTTTAAGCCTACAAGATGGAGATGCAAAATTCATCTGCATGAGTCAAGACAATTCCTCCACCGTCTAACCCGTCTTCAGGCCGAGAGGGGGGAAAGTGGGGGAAAGGACGGATCAATGGGGCTTCTAGGCTTTAAAACCAACGCAGACACCTCCTGGGCTAGGGAGGTGTGTACACGAGGCTGTATCTCGTGCATCTCAAGAATCATGTGCACACGTGTTTGCTTCTCCTCTGCCGTTCTGCTCCCCCCTTTTCACTTCTGATTCAAGTGCCTACTCCACCCCCCTATTTTCCCGTCTGCCCTTCCCCGCTCTCATCTAATCCAGCTCATTCTCACGGACAACTTTTGAGTCGACTCAAAGTTCCCCCTTTTTCCCGCCCCCACCTCCCCCCCTCTCATCGCACCCAGCTCATCCTCACAGTCGCCAGCACTGCCTCTCTCGCCAACCTCTGCTCACCCCTTCTTCTGCCGCTGCCTGTTGTCCCCCGGCCGTTCACCCCCTTCCCATCGCACCCAGCTCATCCTCACAGACGCCAGCACTGCTTCCCTCGCCAACCTCTGCACCAACCTCGCCACCAACTCGCTGCCCTTCTCCTCGGGCCCGGGGATTTCCCCCCTCCGCCCCTCACACCCTCATGGAAGCACGAGTCAAAGCGCCCAGCGATGTGCGAACGGGGTGGTGCAGTGCGGTGGGAGAGAGGAGGTGTGCGAGGGTACTTGGTCAGAAGGGGCTGCAGGGATGCAAGGGTGGGAGGGCGTGGAGGGGGAAGTGTGTGCAGGAGGGGAAGGAGGTGCAAGGGTGCATGTGCAGCAGCTGTGTTGGGAAGAGGTCACACCCGCGCTCGCATCATCCCTCTCTGCTGACATCATCATCGGTGCTGATATCGTGTACAACCCCTCCGTGGTCCCTGCCCTCGCTGACGCACTGGCAGCCCTGCTGTCCACGTCAGCGCACAGCACACGCACGGAGCACACCACCTGGCAGGATAAACACCCAGCTGGCGCCACCCACGCTGCTGCCACACAGCACACGGGCATGCCTGACCATGCAACCTCCTCCCCACTACCCATCTCCCTTCCTCCACCCCCCTACGCCCTCATAGCCTCCACGCATCGAAATCCACTGACCATGGCATGCTTCCTGCAGGCCCTGCAGGACCGTGGGCTGCAGGTGAGGGATGTTGCTGAGGAGCTCATGCCCCACTCTTCCTCTCGGCCTCCGTCACGATGGTTCCATTGCTTGGAGCTTCCAGAAGCGGACCTCATGATGCTGCACCTGATTCACATGTGAGGTGGTTGTTAGGAGCTTGTGCGTCATAATTACGGTACATTCCTGGATTGACACAAATGTCCCAATCCCTTTGTGACGTCCAAAAACAGCATAAACTGTATCATGTCCCAAATGCGCGTCGCCTTACAGCGACCATTACCGTCATACCCCGGATAGAAGCGCCCCTGGGGTTGTAATAAAACACTGTTTTTTAGGGGGTGCGCTTATAATTGAGGAAATTTATAAGCGTCGGCACTTATATTATGACATATATGAAATGCGTATATTTTAGACAACTGTAGATCTCGTTTTTGCATTTTGAATCGAGTCGAAACTATACAGGTCTGTGATTGAGAATCTCGCTCGGACAAGCTGGCAGGGAATGCTTCCCTGCCAGCACATACAGTCAGAATGAGTCAACTTACGCCCCTGACAAGTCATTCTGACTGGAAGCGCTGGCAATGAGCCGAGCGAGGTGAAGGGTATCTAGATTCAAAATGTGGGAATGAAAATGTGAGTTTCGATACAACGATTTCAATAAAATTATAAATACAACATTTAGAGGTGGTGCTTATAATCCGTAATCCTTCAGGGGTGCGCTCAGGGCTGACGTTTCAAATTAGGGCTCCCTGATTCCGGGAAAAAAAATTCCCCTCTATTATGAGTGCACATTTTTCATAATGATGCTACCCTGATTGCTCAGGGTTGAGAAGTATGTAACTCTGATTGTACAGGGTCGAAAATGTCAAAGTGTATATGTTATATACTTGTATAGGCTGTAGTGGGGTAGCCCATAAAGGGTACAACCCAATGTTAGGGTTAGGATATGTACCCAACTCTGTTTCAATTCAAGTCATTCCTGTCTCTAGTTTCTAACATGGTATCAGAGCTGGTGCTGAGGTTTCTGGAGCTTCTGGAGGTGCTGGAGCTGCTGGGGGTGCTGGTGCTGGTGGCACTGCCCAGCCGCGCCTGTTCTTTGCTCCACCGTCTCCGTCGTCTCAGCCACCGCCTGACTCTGTGCTTCGCCAGGTTCTTAGTCTCCCTTCGTCTACTGGTCTTCCGTTACAGCCTGGCTCACCGCTGCCTGCTCCTTCTCCTTACACTGAGCAGACTGGGGGTCTTGCTGAGCGTCGTGAGCCTACGTCGCGTCCTGTCTCGCCTGTTCGTCCTGGTCGTACCGGTCGTCGTGTTCCTCGTCCGCGTCAGCCGGCTGTCCCCGGCACACGCCTTGTAGCCCTGCGTCGGTCCCCTACTCCGGAGCGTACTCCTCTTCCGTCTCCCCCTGCGTCCTCTTTGCCTGACGTCGCGGACCCTGAGTCTGACCGGTTTCGTGCTGAGCACCCTACTGTCACGCGTCTGCTTGCCACTGTTGTCATTGACCCGTCGTTTGAGTCTGCTGCTGCGTCTGCCTTAGTCGCTGAGCTTGTTGACTTTGCTGCTGCCTGTCGTCTAAACTACGCTGCTAGTCTTGTTGCTGAGTCTGAGTCTGTCTGTCCTCCGTCCGTCGGGGGTGAGTGTGCTCTTGGCACGGACGTCCTTGAGGACAGGCACGAGGACCTTGAGTGTCTTGCGGCCGCTGCGCCTCATCTCGTGGCCATGCTGCTTGCCCCTGAGGGAGACCCGGATGCTATAGACATCCCCACACCGCGCTCTTACGCTGAGGCGATCGCGGGTGAGTACTCCTCTCAGTGGCAGACAGCCATGAACGCAGAGATGGCATCCTGGAAGTCCACAGGCACTTACGTCGATGAGGTTCCCCCTCCCGGGGCGAACATCGTCGATGGCATGTGGATTTTCAGGGTGAAGCGGCCGCCAGGTTCTCCGCCTGTCTTCAAGGCGCGTTACGTTGCTCGAGGCTTCAGTCAGCGAGAGGGAGTTGACTTCTTCCAGACCTTCTCCCCCACCCCGAAGATGACTACTCTTCGGGTGCTGCTACACGTTGCCGCTCAGCGTGACTACGAGCTTCACTCCCTTGACTTCAGCACAGCTTTCCTACAGGGCAGCCTGCACGAGGAGATCTGGCTGCGCCGCCCGCCTGGCTTCACTGGGTCGTTCCCTCCTGGTACCCAGTGGAGCCTCCGCCGGCCAGTCTACGGTCTCCGCCAGGCACCCCGTGAGTGGCACGACACACTGAGGACTACACTTGCGGCTCTTGGGTTTGCGCCTTCTACTGCTGACCCGTCACTGTTTCTACGCACCGACACTTCACTGCCGCCGTTCTACATCATCGTGTACGTCGACGACTTGGTCTTTGCTACTGCTGACACTGAGGCCCTCGCCCTGGTGAAGTCCGAGCTGCAGAAGAGACACACGTGCACGGATCAGGGTGAGCTGCGCAGCTACCTTGGCTTGCAGATCACCCGGGACCGAGCACGCCGCACCATCACACTGACTCAGTCACACATGGTGCAACAGGTCCTTCAGCGTTTCGGCTTCACCTGGTCCTCGCCACAGTCCACTCCTCTGGCTACAGGTCACTCGCTCTCAGCTCCACCTTCGGACGAGTCCGTAGAGCCGAGTGGTCCTTACCCAGAGCTAGTGGGCTGCCTCATGTACCTGATGACTTGCACTCGTCCTGACCTTGCGTACCCTCTTGGCCTTCTGGCTCGCTACGTGGCTCCTGGTCGGCACCGAAAGGTGCACTGGGATGCTGCAAAGAGGGTACTGCGCTACTTGTGCAATACATCGGGCATAAAGCTCGTGCTTGGAGGACGGCGAGAGGTGGTCCTCACTGGGCACTCAGACGCTTCTTGGGTTGACGACCAGGCTACGCAGCGGTCGTCACAGGGTTACACTTTCAGCCTTGGCTCTGGTTCTGTTTCTTGGCGTTCTACTCGCTCGTCTTCTGTTCTCAGCTCCACTTGTGAGGCTGAGATCTACGCCACCGCCATGGCTGCTCAGGAGTTACGCTGGCTCACCTACCTGCTGACCGACCTGGGAGAGCGGCCTCGTTCTCCTCCAGTTCTGTACGTCGACAACAAGGCTGTCATTGCCTTGTGTGAGGAGCACAGACTGGAGCACAGAACGAAGCACATCGCTTTGCGTTACTTCCTGGCTCGAGAGTTGCAGCAGCGTGGTCAGCTTCGTCTTGCACACGTGGCCACTCGGGCCAACACTGCTGATATATTCACCAAGGCACTTCCGTCTGGTGATCATCAGCGTTTTTGTACTTTGTTAGGCCCACGTTTCCTCACTTGTTGTAGCCTTTGTGTGTACTGTGCTCTATATTTATACCTGCATGCTTGCTCTTGCTAGGTATTGATCACTGTACTGCTCTTGTTGCATATATATGTATATATATATATCTCTGCATGTGGACTGGCCTTGTGGCCCTTTGCTTGTGCTCAGTTTGTGTGGTGACGTTGTGATCCACCCTGAGCTTGTTTTGCGTCTCTTGACTGGTCTTGTGACCCCTTGTTCTCCCCCACTTTGCCTATGGGGGTGTGTCAAACTGTATATGTTATATACTTGTGTAGGCTGTAGTGGGGTAGCCCAAAAACGGTACAACCCAATGTTAGGGTTAGGATATGTACCCAACTCTGTTTCAATTCAAGTCATTCCTGTCTCTAGTTTCTAACAGAAAATCGAAGATCAGAGTACCGTAGTGACGCGCCCTTTTTTACCGGAGAAAGTCTCGCTTTGCATTAAGGACGTGGTAAAAGTGCTGGATCGGGGGGGATGGATCCGGTCACCGTACTGGAAACATGCGTCTTGCATACGAAAACTACACAACCGTGTAAAACCGCGCTAAAAAACGAACATGTGGAAATCAATTCTCCACTTACCGCGTCCTAAGTCTGCGCTCTGTGTTTCGCGCACACTTTGTGTGCGCTAATTTCCAACCTTTTAGTTTTACGAAACAGTATTTATCCACACGTTTTAGCGCGGGGAAGAGACGAGCGATTTCGGTCAACCAAACATTTCGATTCGATACCACAGATGTGCCAAGTTTTTAATTCGCCGAGGACCTGAATATCGCCAGCATCGCTGTGCGAAACGCTAAATAGGTCTGGTAACTTTACGCACCCGCAATTACGATAGTAGAATGACTATTTGGAATGCATGACAGTATCGTAAATTGAGTGTACTCACATGTCAGACATGCTGCTGTCCGTCGCTCACGCGCTGGCTGTACAGCCCTGCTGTACCGCGATCAATCCGAAGGGGGATATCGGAAGGAATTTTTCATGAACCTTCGTCCCGATACCCTCGCTGGGTCCACATGACGCGTACTCTACATTGACAGGGTCAGTAAAAATACTACTCTGAGCCTGGATACAAGATTTCAGGGTTCGCTAAAGTCCTTATCTGAATGGATCAGAGTTCACAAGTCACAAATTCTGAAATGGCAGGGACCACCAAGTGACAAGCCTGTAATCACCCTGAAATCAGGGCAATTACCCTGATAAAATCAGCCCGCTTATAATCGAGGACCGGATATAAGCGCCCTCATCCTTTTATAAGCGCCGGCGCTTATCCGAGGCCTGCGCTTCTATCCGGGGCCTTACGGTACTGTATTTTCCATTGGTCAGCGTGGAACGGGCCGCCGTCACGTCACTGTCCAGAATTCGCACGCGACTCGAAGTGTCCGGCACGACGACATGCACCTGGTCACCCCACACAATGCCAGTTTCACGCGGGAAAATAAAACATTGAGGCATTGGGCAGCCCAAAAATGACTTGAGGGCGATCCTCCATGCCTTCCCTGCCAGGCTCTAAAAAATCCCGCCAAAACCACACCCCCTCCTACCTCACCACTCAGACCTCTTTAAACTCAAACATAGTGTCTTGTGTCAAATGTTGTAGCCTGTAGTGAGGCATGTCATGTGGGGTACAGCAGTTAGGGTAAGGTTTATGTACCTTAACCAACCTTAGTCAAACCATCATTATGTTCTTGACATGGTATCAGAGCGGGTGGATCATAACGTGGATCAGGCTGGACCACACACTCTAAGCACAAACAAAAGAGCCACAAGGCTAGTCCAAGAGTTCACAAAGGTACATACAAAGCGTACAAACAAAGCAAGTAGAGAGCACAAGACTACGCAGGATGCAAACCTGTGTCAACGAGACCTAACTGCACACAACATCTCTGGTGATCACAAGGCGGAAGTGCCTTGGTGAAGATGTCTGCAATGTTGGCCTCGGACTCCACAAAGTCGAAGCGAGCCTGTCCACGCCTTTGCAACTCTCGCAGAAGAATGTACCTCACGTGTATGTGCTTCACGCTGCTCTCCAGTCGGGGCTCTCGACAGAGGAGAATCGTCGCCTTGTTGTCAGTGAACAAGGTCGGTGCGTAGCTCGGCCGCTCACCAAGGTCGGTGAGCAAGAACCCAAACCAACGCAGCTCCTGTGCAGCCATGGCTCCAGCGTAGATCTCAGCCTCAGCAGTAGAAGTCGAGACCGAGGAGGAACGAGTGGACCTCTACGAAACAACTCCAGAGCCCAGGCTAAAACAGTACCCCTAAGTAGATCTGTGAGTCTCAGCGTCATCAGCGTAAGAAGAGTCACAGTGACCAGTAAGTACGACAGGCTGACTTCCTCCAAGAACCAGCCCCACGCCTGATGTCGTTGCTAGGTACTTCGCCACCCATACAGGAGCTGTCCAGTGAACAGGACGGTGTCTCCCTGGCGCAACAAAGCGAGCAAGGACGCTGAGAGGGAAGGTGAGGTGTGGGCGAGTACAAGTCATCAGATACATGAGACCCACAAGCTCTGCGTAGGGACCACTAGGCTCAAACGGCTCGTCAGGAAAGGGTCCAGTGAGTCTGTGGTCAACAGCAAGAGGTGTGCGCTGTACTGTGGAGTGTTGAAGCTCGAACCGCTGAAGGACTTGCTACACCATGGGAGACTGTGAGAGTGTAATGGTGCGAGCGACTCTGTCCCTGGTGATCTGCAGGCCAAGGTAGTGGCGCAACTCACCAAGGTCAGTGCACGTGTGTCTCTTCTGCAGTTCGGACTTCACGTCAGCCAAAACAACCCTGTCAGCAGCGGCGAAAACCGGGTCGTCCACGTAGACCAGTACAAAGAACAGTATGGAGCCACGACGAACGAACAGCGACGGGTCGGCAGAAGACGGCTGGAAACCGAGGTCAGACAGGGTAGAGCGAAGGGTGTCGTGCCACTCACGAGGTGCCTGACGGAGACCACAGACTGGTCGTCTGAGCCTCCATTGGGTCCCAAGAGGAAAAGTGTCAGTGAAGGCAGAGGGACGACGTAACCAGACCTCCTCGTGTAGGCTACCCTGAAGGAAGGCAGTGGAGAAGTCGAGAGAGTGTAACTTGTAGTCTCTCTGTGCTGCTACGTGCAGTAACACTCGAAGAGTGGTCATCTTCGGGGTAGGCGCGAAGGTCTGAAAGAAGTCAACTCCCTCGCGTTGACTAAAACCTTTAGCCACGTAGCGTGCCTTGAAGACCGGAGGAGATCCCGGTGGCCGCTTCACCCTGAAGATCCACATGCCATTGACTTCGTCCGCCCCCGGGGGAGGGGGGGGGACCTCGTCGACGTAGGTGCCTGTGGATCTGTAAGAGGCCATCTCTGCGTCCATGGCAACTCTTCACTAAGAGGCTCAAGACCCTGACACAGCCTCTGCGTAAGTGCGAGGAGTTGGTATGTCAAGGGCGTCGGGGTCTCCCTCAAGGGCGAGCAGCATGGCACAGAGATGAGGGGAAGCGGCCGCCAGGAACTCTAGCTCAAACTGCCTGTCCTCTATGGCGTTACAGCCAAGGGCACACTCACCCCCAACGGCTGGTAGGAGGAGCAGCCACAAGACTGGTGGCATAGTCAAGGCGGCGAGTAGAGGCAAACTCAGTGACTGCGGCAGTAAGAGCGGAGACAGGGGACAAAGAGTCACGAGGGTCGGTAACAAGAGAGGCGAAAACACGAGAGAGAACATGGCGGTACGTGCGTAGAAGTCTGTGACAGGAGTAGAGAGGGAAGCAGTGAGGGCCGACTCAGGAGAGAAAGAAAGACAGACGGAGACGAACGAGACGGACTCGGGCTGCTGTCGCGGCTGCTCCTCCAGTTGCGGCTGCTGCTGCTGCTGCTGCTGCTCCTCCGGCTGCGGCTGCTGCTGTTGGCGTTGTCGCTGCTCCTCCACCTGCCGTAGCTCCAGCAGCTGCCGCTTTAACCCTAGGCCCTCTCTCTCCAACTCCAGCTGCTCCTCACGTGCACGGCGAAGACGGGCCTGGTGCCGGGTCGGGTAGGGGTGCGGGCGCGGAGTAGTGTCCGGGGCAGGGGCAGCCCCAGGACTACCCTCCAAGGCACCAGCCGCACCACCCCCAGAGCCAGCATCACCAAAAGTAACAGGGTTAGTTCTTGGCTCTCCAGGTCCAGTAGAGGGTGCACCCCCAGGCGTAGCACCCCCAGAACCAGGACCTCGCACAGGTACGCTCTCAGCTCCAACTCCAACTCCTCTAGAGCTAGCACCTCCAGGGTCCTCGCCACGAACACCGGCTCCCGCAGGGTCTGCAGTAGGCTGTGAGGAGGACTGCGGGGAAGGAGGCTGTAACTGAGGGGCTACCGAGGAGGGGGGGGGGGGGGGGGTAGCGTGGGACACACCCGACGGGGCTGGGCCAGGGGGGGAAGGTTGTCCCGGGGGAGCAGGAGGGGGAGCGGAAGTCAGGAAGACAGGAGGAGGAGGAACCGGGAGACCTCGACAGGGGTACCTGACGAGGTAGGGGACGGACTTGTCGAAGGAACGTTACGGGAGTCAAAGAACCGGTGAAGGGGAGGGTGGTAGAAGGTGAAGTCAGAGGAGTCCTCCGGGAAACCAAGGAAGACACAGGGAACGGCGCGAGGCGAGATCTTGTCCGCGGAGGTGTCGCGAACAAGTGCCAAGCAACCCCAGACACGAAACCGCGACGCAACACCAGGGGACCCGGTCCAAAGACTGGTCGGTGAAACCTCTGACCGAAAGACACGTGGCCAGAGGTTCAGCTGGTGAGCGGCGTACCGAACCGCGTAGGGCCACAGAAAATGGGGGTATGTCAAATGTTGTAGCCTGTAGTGAGGCATGTCATGTGGAGTACATTAGTTAGGGTTAGGTTTATGTACCCCAACCAACCTTAGTCAAACCATCATTCTGTTCTTGACATCCTACCCATTGCAAGAATAATCTGGTGTACAGTTGGTTGAGTAACCGAATCAGGCGCGCTCAACTGTACATGTCGCCTAGTCGCATAGTGTCGTGATACATTCTCGCTTTGACACGCGAAGTTGACTCAATGTGTAAACCAGACTCTAGAAAAATGTCATTGAGTCACCTGTGTCGATCCAGGAATGTACCGTTATTTGTTTCCGGGTGCTAAGTTGCAATTTCACGAGGTACTGTATGGCTCGTGATTTACAGCCATAATCAATAGTCTCGGATGTGGTCATTACAGATAAAATCAGTATGAGGCAGCACAAACATTTGCCGCAACTGCTGAATGCAAACATTTACTTATCGTACAGTTTCGAAGTCCTTTGATTTTGCATTGTAGTACTCTCCACGATGGAACCTAGGAAGCGTTATAGCGATACTTTCGACTTCTTGGGAGGCTTGGGCATTGTCTGTGGGGGAAGTGTGCTCACCACGCACGTTCGGCAAGTCAGACACGAGTTGACTGCAGCGACTCTGTACACGTCAATATATATTCTGGACTTTTGATACACGTAGGCATGCTTGTATCAAGTGGGCGCGATCGATGTCGTCAGCAACATTTCCAACACCGTCATTGGAGATGCTCACGTGGACTCTTCCACCAACCCCTTGTCGCTCACCAACATCAGCATGATTCGTGAACCATCTCTGCCACTTCCTCCTTTTGAGGTGTGATGCATGACGCCGCGCCAAGTGGAATCTACGTCATTGCAGCCACACCAACCGACACTCTCCAGGACAACGAGTCAGCCTTGAGTCCTTCAGGCAAGACACCACCGTCACCTCACCCCTCCTGAACCCCGATTCACGAATCCCTCAGTACACCTCTTCGCTCTGGTTGCTCTCGATCTTAGGGTTTCATTTCTGCTTCAACTGCTAGGTACCATTCGTTCGAAGCTCATCCCAAGCCAGCGTTGAACGTCATGGCTGCCCTTGTCCAAGTCGCGTCGGGGTCATGCCTTTCCGCGTCGCTCGCACCGTCATCGGCCGGCCGAAGAAGCACCTCACAACCGGCGTCGTCAGACTGCCGGCCAGTCTCTGCCGCCTCTCAACTCAGCAGCTGCGCGGTTCGCGCGAGACATCGCGTGCCTCTGCTGAGACACGTGGCCGCCTTCCAGGATGACGCGTGTCGAGCGTTCTACGAGCCGGTACGCTGCAAGAAGGCGGACAAGGAGAGCAAGGGCTTTAAGGAGGCGAAGCGGTCGCTCAAGGCGAAAGCAGCAGCGCTGGAGTCGCAGTTCGTCGCCTTGGCCGATGCCGTCGACTCGGACGAACGGCAGTCCGGCGTTGCGACGGCGTCCCCGGTTGACGCGGTAAGAGATGATTCGCTCTTGTCTTCGTCATATGTTTTCCTTATTCCCTTCCAAGTCCGACAGAAAGCTGTGACCAAGAACCTAACCGGGACAGTTTCTGATATACGTACCGCGCGTGTCGTGTGATGGTTTTCGTGGTGGCAGGACTTCGTGGCAACGGTGCTTCGCGAGCTGAAGGAGATCAAGGCGGAGCTCAAGTCGCTGAAGCAGATGCAGAAGAAGATGATGGAATCCTCTTCATCCTCCTCGTCATCGTCATCCTCCTCCTCCAGCAGCGATGGCGGCATGGGGGGAATGAAGGCCAGGCGCATGGAGCGCCGCAAGGCACGGCAGCAGGGCGCCATGGGGATGATGGGGACCGTAGGAGGGACTGTGGGGACCTCCGTCGCCACTGGCGGTGCTGCTCCCGGTGTGGCTGTCATCACTGCTCCTGTTGCCGCCGCCGCAGCTCCACCCGCCGCCTCCGCTGCTTCGTCAACCCTTCAGTCGGTAATAGCCGCGTCAGCTATCCCCGCTGCTCCAGCCAATCCAGTGGCGTCGGTTCTTGCCGCGCATGCACACGTAGCCTCGGAAACCCCTAGGGTGTGGGAGATCGAAGACGTGGTTTCCGCGATCGCTGGAGGCGCCTCTTTCACCAGCTCGGCGCTGCCCTCCGCCCTCCAAACGCCCGTCCAGCTCCCCCCTGTGCAAGCTCCGCCTCCCCCCTCCCCACTCCCCACTCCGGTCTCCCCCATTCACGCCGCGCCTGTCTTTCCCGACACCGCGCCCTCGCCGTTGCAAGGGAGCGTGGCGGTGGGTGTGACTGTAGCGGGGGACGTGGAAGTGTGCATTGGCGGGAAGTGCAAGAAGAACGGAGCGGGTGAGATCCTATCCGCCTTCCAGGCGCAGGCAGCGGGAACAGGCGTGAATGTGGAGGCGTGCAAGTGCATGGGCAAGTGCAAGGCGGCGCCAAACGTGAGAGTGTGGCGGGATGACGCGGACGAGCCTCGAATGGAGAGTTATCTGGCGGTAGAGGATGTGGGCATGCTGATGCAGAGGCACTTCGGCCTGCAGCCTGCTCCCGTGCCTGCTGCTGGAGCTGGAATTATGTGATGCTGGACACTGGAAAAACTTGTTAAATTAGTCACAACTGAATAATACCCCTCTGTTGTACGTAGACTTCTTGTTTGGTGCTTGTAACCTTCAACAGCTTGTGTTTTGGTGCTCCAATGGTCTGGAGACAGTGTCAGTCACCTCACCTCACCTACATTCTAGTCTGCAAATTATCCTCGGTTTCGGGTCTGGTTATGCCTACTTCCATCCGAAACTCCTAGTAATTTATTCACGCCTGTACTTACGTCTGTTGGTACGGTATCAGTATTTATACATGTTACGAATAGTAACATTTAATTGTTACTGAGCACTCCTCACCGCAGCAAAGAGAAGCACGCAGTATCGAAGCAAGAAAGCGAACCGTCAGACGGTTGGAGTTTGACTCAAGTGTCAGACAGTTGGGGCGCATCTGGACCGTCGGAAGCAGACGGCATCGGACAGCTGCAGGCAGGATGTTTTTGGCGGGAACAGTTACGAAACTGTACGCGCCGCACGGTTGAGAATGCGTTTGAATAAGGGAATGTACCCCTTAGAGTACATGGCTAGCTAGGTCGTTTCGTCTTCCCTGTACTCATATTTATACTTGCTGTATTTGCATGTTTTAATCATCTCAAGCATTTTACATTCACTCTGCTATTGAGGTCACGGGCCCACCAACTACATTTCCCTGTGTGCGAACCTTCCCGAGTAGATCCTGGTAAGCGATCATTCTCTGATCGTAGCATGGTATGAGAGCGGCTCGGGAATCCTTCGCAACACCACTCCCGAAAATTGCGACACTCGGAAAGTGGCGACCGGCACACGCTCGCGTGTGAGAATGGCCGGAGGATCTGGTGGTCAGACTAATCTGACGGCTGAAGCGCGCACCAATCCGGCTGCGACAAGCGAGGAAACGACTACGATCGGCACCGAAGTCCTCGCACAACTTCTTCAGCGACTCACCAGTCTGGAGCAAGGGCTCCAAACATTGCGGAACGGCGATGCGGGAACATCCTCGCAACCATCCCAACCGGGCCCAACTGGGCAGAACACCGTCCCGCAAACCTTCTCCCTCGACACAAATGGCTCAACCCCCAAGGCTCCCCGTCCCAGTGAAGAAGCAATTCTCTCCGCTCAATCAAAGTTTCTGAGCATATCAAAAATAAAGACAAGTTCCAGCTTTGACGGCAAAGACTTCTATACCTGGAGCTTCGAATTGGAGCTCCTGCTGCAAAACGCCCAAATCTTCCATTACTTCGACGGGAGCTACGCCGAGCCTGCCGAGGACACCGACGACGCCAAGGCGAGGTATTACAACGAATCACTGATGGCGTACGGGGTGCTCCTGCGGAACATGTCCCCGGCGGAGCAGCTGAACATTCGTTCGTACAAAACGACAGCTGCTCCAGCCCTCAACGCCTGACGACATATGACAGGAGTGTATCAGCCCAAGGACTCTGTCTCCTCGAGCCGACTGCTCCAGGAACTCCTGGAAACCAAGATGACCTCAGGGGAGAAGGTCAACACTTACCTTAACCGCTGTCGGAGCCTTCGCGATCAAATCGTGAAGTTGGGAAGCACGATATCTGAAGAAACTTTCGTTAACATCGTACTTCAAGGGCTCGGCCCAGAGTGGCGGCCCTGCAAGGCGCTTCTCCGACAGCAGGGGGTCATCTCGGAGGCCGCCCTCTGCGCCGCCCTTCTCGTCGAACAAAGGGATATGGATCAGCAGCGACCAGCGCCGCGACGAGAAAGAGAACGGATCGCCTTCTACGCCGACAACAACGAAGAGCGACGTCCGAGGCGCCTCTACTGCAAAATTTGCAGGACTTTCGGGCACCTGGCGGATCGATGTAAATACCGATCTCGCCCTCGCCAGACCAATCCGAGCACCTGGTCCGGCCGACAAGACGCACGAGGCGACGTGCGTCCAGCCCAAGGGTATCAACCCCAACCCGCGCGCAACCTGAACCCCGCGGTTCAGCATCAGCAGCAGCAGCCGCCACCGACTGCCACAGTACGCAATGTCATGAGCAACATGGCCATGACAGGCGAGTCACGTCGTCGCCGCGTGCGCTCACCATCACCTGAGCCAGCACCGCATCCCATTGGCGCGTTCTCTAACAACAACCCATTCAGTCCGCGCCACGACTTCACCGACGACGACGACCAGGACTGGAATCTCCCAGTCCCGCTGCTTGAGAGTCCCCCGCACGTACCTGACATGCGGGTGGCGCCACTTGATTGGCTCTCGCGCGAGCAATTCCTGAAGTTCGACACTGCGCATATCGTCACGCCGCGACTGGCGCTGCTTGCACGTGACAACAAGCGCTACAACACCTGGTACCTGGACAGCTGCTGCGGCCAGCATATGGTAGGCTCCGAGCGTTACATATCCAACGCCGTCGCCACCCCCACAGTCACTTACGTCACAGTGGCGAACAACACGCGCCTGCGCGCAAGCGCGCAAGGCATCGTTGTGCTCAAAGCACGCGGAAGCCGCACGCACATCACGCTCAACGATGTGCTGATCGTCCAGAACCTGCGCTTCAACCTCCTGTCCGCCGCACAGCTCATGGATTGCGGCGTAGAACTCAGCACAGATCGCGCGACGCGCGACATTCTGCTGCACTACGAATCGCGCACCTTTTCCCGCAGGCAGATCGGACGAGCACACTCCGAAAATGGAGTGTACATCCTGGATTTCGATATTCCCGACTACAGCGGTGACTCGCACGAGCTGATTGACCTCGTGCCACTGCGATTCGAACACATCCACCGCAGGGACTGGAAGCACCCTGACGGCAGGCCGTGGGTGCCGCATCATCCCCACCCACGCGAAACGGAACTTCACAACCCCGATCCAGATGGAATCTGCAGGGATTGTCATACGCCGACGACCTCGACGTTCGCGATTGCAGGCCGCGGACTCGCCGCCATCGCGGAAGCAGAGCGCAACGCGCCCCCCGAGGAAGGGATGTCGCAGCTCGAACTCGAAGTCACCACGCATGGCGTGTTCGGCACGCCTGAGCACCCCCTCACAGGTCCCCCTTCTCAACATCTTCGAGGGATGCTTCGTGGAACTGGTGTCGGCACCTTCGATGCGCGTGGCATGCCACGCCCCTACACCCGCAAGAATTTTCTGCAGATTTACCCACATTGGCGCGACCCCACGGCAAAACTCACCGTGGAACAGGAGGAAGAACTGGCGCGCCGCGAAGCCGAGGAGCTTCGCCAACAGAGCCTCGCCGAGGCACGCGGAACGTTCACCTGCGCCGCATGGGGCGCCGAAGCTGAAGAAAGCGCCACCAATGAAGGGGGGTGGGAAAACGTCGGCGGTTGGGGAACGACTGAGGCTGGCGACTGGGGCAACACCGGCGGAACCTGGGCAACCGCAATTGAGCGGCGGATGGGGCGCCGCATCTGGCGCCGACACGAGTGGCTGGGGCACCCCTACTAGAGGCTGGGGGACTTCCCGCGAAGACCAAAGGGGGGGAGAAGAAGAAGCTGGAGAGTCTGCAGTTGTTCCCCTCGGTCGTCCCCCACGCCATGTCCCACTCGCGTTACCTCCTCCTGATAACCCACCGCGCCGCGATCCATGGGACACCATCGCCTGGGGCAACGAGCCGTCAACCCCGCGTCGCACCGCTTACGGACCGGCTCCCGAACCACGCGAACCAACCCTCGTCCCTGGAACCATCCCTGGGACCAACATCCCGCTCTCTGAAATTCGTGACAGAGAATTCCTGGCGCTGATGCTCACCACCGCGACAGAAGAAGAAGAAGCAGAGGAAGAAGCATCGGAACCTGCTCCTGTACCTGACGAAGACCCTGAGGAAGCGCGCGCGCGCTACATGCGCACCTCCGGCTTTCGCGCTGACGACGCACTCTGGCACCAGCGCCTCGGACATCCTTCTCGCGCAACGCTGAAAAATTGTATCGACGCAGGCGTCTTCGCTCCTGGCGCACTCCTGCGCCCTGATGGCTCCGAAGTGAGAGGCGCAACGCATCCGCGCAATTGCACAGTCTGCCCCGAAGCTGCGCTGAGCCACCAACCGTTCCCGCTGCTCGAACCTGGGACGAACCGCTACCCCAAACTGCACAAGGTGTACAGCGATTTCCTGAACGTAGGGCATTGCGGAGTCGAGGACGAGCTATACACTCTTACCTTCATTGACGCTGGAACACGCTACGTGTGGGTCGTGAACGTGGAGACGCGCGACAGAGCCTACGAGGTGTTTCGGCTCTGGCTAGCGCATGCGGAGCGGCAATCTGGAAAGAAGCTAAAGATCTGGCAATCTGACGGCGCAGCAGAGTTCAGGAGCAACCAGATGCAGACTTACCTGGCGCAAAAGGGGATCGAGCATCACATCTCTCTCCCCTACGCACATCAGCAGCAAGGCGTAGCGGAGCGAACGAATCGCACACTGATGACGAAGGTGCGGGCGCTGATGAAGCAGTCGAAGCTGCCGCCGATCTACTGGACCTACGCAATGCACCACGCTGTACGGGTGCACAACCTGCTTTCAACCACCGTGATTACTGGTAACCTGTCCCCGCACGTCAAGTGGACTGGGACAAAGGGGGACACATCGATGCTGCGCGTATGGGGGTGTATGGTCCAATACCGCCCACCGACCTCAACCATCGGCAAGTTCGCCAGCCGCGCGCGTTGGGGGATCCACCTCGGCATCAGTCACGAGTACAAGGCATGGATCGTGTTGGACCTCCTCAGTAAAAAAACCACTCACGCTCGCGACGTAATTTTCTACGAGCGTCTCTTCCTCGACCAGTTCCGCGACGACGAGCAGAGGAATGCAGATCGCGTTTACGCGAACAACGGCCACAGCTACGCAACGCCCGAAGACGAAGCCGCTGCAGCACTTCTAGAGCAGGACACCAGGGCCGAATTCACTTGGGAAGATCGGCGCAGCAGCGACAACGACGATGATTCCTCAGGAGGAGGAATAGGCGGAACGGGCGGAAGCGGCGGAGGCGCAACACCATCAGCACCACCTGAACCTGAGAGCGACGATGATGACGTGCAGGAAGTCGTCCCGCAGCGTCACCACGACAGTACCGTCTCAGGACTACAACTGCTCGGACTTCACACCGCAACCTCGAAAGCGCCGCGCGTCATCGAGCCCCGAAACCCGCGCGAAGCCCTCTCTGGACCACACAGCAAGGAATGGCGTGAGGCAATGGACGCGGAAATCAAGGCACTGGAGTCACGCGACACCTGGGTGCTCGTTGACCGCGCAGCAATCAAAGGTGCAAGAATCCTTTCGGGGAAGTGGGTCTTCCGCGTGAAGACCGCAGCTGACGGAACGATTGAGCGCTTTAAAGCGCGCTGGGTGGTTCGCGGCTATGACCAGAGGCATGGGATCGATTTCGACCAGACATTCGCCCCCGTCAGTCGCCACACCTCCGTCCGCATCTTACTCGCTATCGCAGCTGCAAGGCACCTGCCACTCCGCCAGATCGATGTCAAAAACGCGTTCCTATACGCGTTAGTGGACGCTGTGATTTACGTGGAGCAGCCACACACCTATGGCGAAAGTGACTCGCGGGTATGCCAGCTGCGCAAGTCACTGTACGGCATCAAGCAGGCTCCAAGGCTGTGGCAGCAGTACCTGCACAACATCTTGCTTGAAATCGCGTTCAAGAAGACGCCCCACGACCTAGGAATGTACCGCCGCGATTTCCGCGGGGAATACATCCTCCTCACGGTCTACGTCGACGACTTGCTCTACACGGGCTCAAACAACGAGCTGCTCGAACAGTTCGAGAAGGCTTTGGCGGGGCGCGTCGACATCACGTGCAACTACGAGGTGAAGCAGTTCCTAGGCCTCAACATCTCCTACGCGCCTGAAGCCATTCATCTGTCAGCAACCAAGTACGCAGAGGAGTTAGGGAAGCGGTTCAAGATTTCACCCGCACCTCTCTCGACTCCCTACCGAACCCCCGGACCGAACCACAAACCTGACAACAAAGCCCTGTCCCCTGCTGGAATCCAGACTTACCAGCAGCAGCTGGGATGCCTCCTTTTCGCCTCTGTCACCTGCAGGCCAGACCTCTCCTACATCGCAAGTCAGCTTGCCCAGTACTCACGGAAACCAACGGCTGAAAATCACCTGGACCTGCAGCGCGCTTTGCAATTCTTCGTTTCAACGCCCAAGATTGGGCTGTGCTACTCAACTGCACCAACCCCATCCTTCAATCTCGTCGGCTATGTGGATGCCGATCATGCAGCAGATCCCGACAATCGACGGTCCATGACCAGCTTCCTGTTCCGACTCGAACCAACGGGGCCAATCTCCTGGAATTCACAGAAGCAGGAGCTGGTTGCCCTGTCGTCAGCCGAAGCACAGTTCATCGCAGCAACCGCAGCAGTTCGCGAAGGCCTCTACCTACAGGAACTCCTGCAGGAGGCGAAAATTCCAACTTCGCCAACCTTTCGACTTCACTGCGACAACCAGAGCGCGATTCGCATCGCGAACAAACCTGGTTTCGTCAATCGCACCAAGCACATTGCGCTGCGATATTTCTTCGTGAAGGACGAAGTGGACAAGGGCAAGGTCAACTTGACCTATTGCCCGACCGGTGACATGGCAGCAGATTTCCTCACAAAGCGACTGCCACGCCAGCAGTATCAGCACTGCTCCGAACTCAGCGGCGTGGTCAAGCAGGTCAAATCGAGCTACGGCCAGGAGTGAAGGGGGGTGTTACGAATAGTGACATTTTATTGTTACTGAGCACTCCTCACCGCAGCAAAGAGAAGCACGCAGTATCGAAGCAAGAAAGCGAACCGTCAGACAGTTGGAGTTTGACTCGAAGTGTCAGACAGTTGGGTCGCATCTGGACCGTCGGAAGCAGACGGCATCGGACAGCTGCAGGCAGGATGTTTTGGCGGGAACAGTTACGAAACTGTACGCGCCGCACGGTTGGGAATGTATTTGAATAAGGGAATGTACCCCTTAGAGTACATGGCTAGTTAGGTCGCTTCGTATTCCCTTGTACCCTTATTTATATCGTTGTATTTGCATGCTCTTATTATCTCAAGCATTTTACATTCACTCTGCTATTGAGGTCACGGGCCCACCAACTACATTTCCCTGTGTGCGAACCTTCCCGAGTAGATCCTGGTTAGCGATCATTCTCTGATCGTAGCAGTTAGTACCATTTTTCCGTGCTCAAAAAAAGATATGAAGCGGCTCTATCTATTTCAAAAAAAAAAAATTGCGTTCACATTTACGATAGAATTCTTTACGTCCAATTTTACGATCGAGTGCGAGAATCACAGCTCTATGTGAGCAGTTGTTTCCACAACAGGTACTCGTTTGTAATAATCTTGTTTTTCGGAAAGTGCGTCAGAATTTCGAAAAGTGTGTCAGAACTTGGTGCTTCAAGATTCGTCAATATTTTTGGCGCGGACGGGTACAACCAGAATCTAGATCATTTTGGGCGAGGGTTTCTTATAATTACCATTCGCGTGATTGGCTACTAGTGTATAGTTACCAAACGCGTTAAGCGAGTTACCAAATGCGTTAAAACAACATAAACTTGTTACAGTACGCGTTATAGTGCCCCATATAAGTTACCATTGGCATATTTTCCCAATATTATATGCTAAGATTGTATTTTGAGTCAGCGGTGTAGAGCTTATCTCGGTGTGACATGAGAGTGGAGGTTTGGGTTGCTTTGAAGGATGCGGCGTGGCTCGATTCGTGCTTCTGACTTGTATGCGGCTCGGGAGTTATCACCGACGTGAGAAGGCTTGGTTCCGCAAAAACACACACTCGACGGTAATCTTCTAAATTTCCTCTATTTCAAGGAGCACAATTAGCTTCATCTCACGAAAAGGTCCTGACTGGATGAGTATATGGGTTCTGGGGTTGGATCCAGCAACCGTGTGATCCCCTCTCATTTCAAGCAGAGTGGGCGTTTTCAATTCCTGGTCGGTGCGGGGATGTATGTGACACTCCAGTTGTCCCAAAAAAACAAATATTTTTCCGTGCCGCGCCCTTGACCAAAGCGAGCAAGGGGGCTGATGGTGACGCCGCGTCACTGACCCGCCTCTCATATAACACGAACACCAGCCATTCAGAGTTTTCAATCAAAGCTCCTTCCACCACTTTTGACAACGCACCTGCATAGCTTTCGCGATGGCCCGTGCTCTCAGCGTGTTCATCTTCATATCAGGTACTTGACACAACCGCAAGGACTGAAAGAAACAGCTAGCTGTCTTAGCTAGTTTGCCCCATCTCACCTCCTTTCGTCTTTCGTGCGTGCAGCCTTCGTAGTCGGTGCAGCTGCACAATGTGCGAACCCCCTACAGGTACGCCTTAGCGCCTGTTTTAGACTCGTTTGGCACACGTGAGCAGGGCTAATCACTTTCTGCTTGCGGGAACGAATGGCAGGCATGTGACTTCTACTTCAAGCCTCCACGTGGCATGAAGCCATTTGTCCCCACGTTCAAGATACGGTCCTCCAATATGAATCTCATGCTCAGCCAAACTTTCATCATGCACAAGTGAGTATCCCGGTCCCCCTTGGCCTTGTTGAACAGCGTGTACTAAATCTCCTGAATTCCTGTAATCCACGTTTTGCATGATCTCGTTATGAAGGTATTCTGTTTTGCTGTTTCCAGGTCGGGTGACGTCGTGCTATCCACGAGCAATAATAACGAGTACAACGGATGCATAATGACGCCAGTGAGTACCCAAATCAGAAGAGCGAGATGAATGCTGACGCCGTTACGTCAAATAGACAACCATTTCGAATGACGAGTCGTCTTTTGTGTGCTAGATGCAATTTTCCATGAATCCCCGCTTACCACACTTCGTACTGTCTGGCATCAATGCAGAGAACGGACTGGCGTACATGCGATAAGGTGTTTCTGTTCAAGGGAGCGGGAAACGGGCCCAGTTCCTACGTCAACACCAACCTCGTCGCCATGTACCCCATGACCCCCGACGTCGTCCCTGTAAGTTCAATACACAACCACCCAGTTACTCCAATGTATTTTCCATGTGATCTGTTTCTTGCTGGGATCACTGCAACATTTGACATGGCCTATGTGTCGGATTTTCTTGAAATATACTTGCAGTTGTATAAGAATAGGTGCATCGTGCTGCGGATGGACAACACTCGTCTCGCCCGCAGCGGTTACCTCAACAGCGGGGATACCCGCATGAGATTCCCTGAGGTACGTGGCTCTAGAGAACGGTAGCGCTATTTTTCCGCGTTAGCCCATTCATGTGAGCTGGCTAAAGGATTCAGCAGGCAAGTCCTACTTACCCAAGTCATTTACTGTTCTCGTCTTATTTCTCCCGTACTGTCATGCTCATCCATTCGACCTTGCAGCAACGCCGCTGCATCGTTTTCAAGACCGCGTAAGTAGACGTGTGCGGCGCTGGCGAGGGGCAGTGTAACCATACACTGTAGAAGAATCAATAAGTGGCTGGTTCCGATTAAATGTGAAACTCACATTTTCTGCAGGTCATATCTGCATGCAGCTTTGATACGTTACTGAGTCTGGCATACTTACGAATGTCCTAGGACCTAGCTTGTAGCCTTGGGTTAAATGTTCAATCCATTCTTCGAAGGATCATACTAAGCAATCGTTGGGCAACACAGGAGAGGCTTGTGGTACAATAAAAAGTTTTATGAATCGCAAAAAATGGCAAATACCTGCGCTTGGTTGCAAAGGTGAACTGTAGAGAAGACCTTGTGGGACCACCCGCATGCAGTTAACACGTGCAGGTGTGAGACACGGGCATGCTTCATGAACTAGCATGCGGATGGGGCTCCTTTTTTATCCCTAAGCTCACCGTTATGAAAGGGAAGGATCCAAACCAGGATGCAAAATTATACATGTGTAACCGTTTAGACTACTACATAGGTGGTGGCAACCCAACACCTGACTAGTGACATTGCATCAATGCATGTCTTTTGCAGCTGCGATCACCTCTGCCTTGACTTCCTATTTTGAACCGCCCGCAGATTGCCTCCCACTTTTGGCTGTTGCCATGTCTGCTCGCGCCCGCTAGTCTTGACTCGCACTGTTCCCCCTCGTCCTGCGGTCATTGACGCTTTCAGAGATTGGGATGGGGCTCTGGAAGAGTGCTTGGAGTGTTAGAAAGAGACTAGGCTAGGAGCCAGGGCCCAAAATATCAGGGTAAAACACCCTGATTACCCTGGGGGTCGGCCGTTTTTTCAGGATTACCCTGCCGAAATCAGGAATGCCCGATAGTTACCCTTCTCTCAAAAGAGCAAGTTTTTTTTTTACCCTGATAGGTTTTATAGTTAGCCTGACGGAATCAGGGTTGGGTGTACATTACCCTGATTACCCTGGGGGCCGGCCGCTTTTTCAGGATTACCCTGCCGAAATCAGGAATGCCCGATAGTTACCCTTCTCTCAAAAAAGCAAGTTTTTTTTTACCCTGATAGGTTTTATAGTTAGCCTGACGGAATCAGGGTTGGGTGTACATTACCCTTTTACCGAGTTTCCCTTAGCGCGAATCTGACCACAGTCCGCGTGGTGACGAAATGTACAACACCCCCACAAACACCTGTTGTCGCTTGTGTACACGCGTAGCGAAACTTGCTTCGCTGTCAGAAACGCGCCATGTTGCCCCATGTGTCGTTACTACCGTAGGACTGCCAGGTCATTCTCGAATTGTGCCACCCACAGCCACGCCCACCGCCACCACAGCAGAATTCGCTGTCAAGGACAGCTTCAAGCTGTCCTTGACTGCAAATTGCAGCGGCAGTCCTGCCTTCCTGGCCACGCTCTCCCTGCCGCATGCAATGAACGGCCCCCGAGAGTCAGCCAGAGGCTCGTTCTCTACGATGGGGTTCAATTTTCCAGCTCCAAAATGCCCACTGAAGAGCCCGAACCACCAGATGGCGCGAGGAACGGACTCTCTGTGCTGGGCGTTCTACCACGCCTTAGCGAGAACTACGCCGTGCCCATCGCTCAGCCGCCGCCTCGCGAGCCGTCACCAGAAGTTGTGGTAGGAACGGTTTATCCGTTCGAGCCTCCTGACTCGCCCACGGCGTGGGAACCACATCCAGACATTGAATTAGTTCCCGGCGGCGGCGAGGGCTCGTCAAAGCCGCCCACTGCTTCGCCGTCTACTGTCAGCACCGCGCCCGTGAAGCGACCGCGTGTGGGAACAACGTACAAGCAGCAGACGCTCTGGGGCGCCCCTCCTCCCCGAAACGCTACTCCCCACAAGCGCTCTGCTCCTTCTGCCGATCCGAAGCCACCCACCGCTCTGGCGGATGCTGAGTATGAGTCGGTCAAGAAGACCTTTGAGGGTCAGTGGGCAGGTAGCTTCAAGTGGTTGCGTTTACTGCGCATGTCTAACAGCCGTCCGTCTCTGAAGTGTGCTATTTGTGCGAAGCATGGAGACCCACAAGCGCACACCGCTTACGGGCTGAGGGGTGAGGGAGCGCGGGATCTCCAGATTGGCAGCATCCGCATTCACACCTCATCCCGTGCACACAAGCAGGCGTTGGAGAACCAAGAGAAGGCGGAGGCGGAGAAGGCGAAGCAGGCTTCTATCACTCGCTGGCAGGCAACGGACGCATCCAGTCGTCACATCATTCGGCTCCTCCACATCGCGCATTTTGTATGTAAGGCCGACGCTCACCCATAGCGATGTTCGTCCCGCTGTGTTGGTTTCTGGCGAAGGAGGGGTTACCAGACCTTCCGCCCGCTGGCGGCTACGGCGCGTACTACACTGAGTAAGTGGTTTGCTGCTGTGGTAATACCAGATGTGTTTTTAAATTCATACACGGTGATCTGACCACCACTCTTGTCCCTTGGCGGTTACGGCTTCAAAGAGAACCTGCGCGCCCTGTCGACATACCTCCAAGAGACACAGCGCCATCACTTGCTTGACTCCCCGTGGATAGGGATTCAACTCGACGAGAGCACGGACCGTGTGAACGGGAAACATCTCATTCTCTACGCCACGTTCTTCCAGCACACCACGGTGGTCACGGAGTTCCTGACTGTCATCACTCTTGAACGTTGTGACGGTGCCTCTCTCACATCTGCTATCGTGCAGTACCTAACAGGTATCGGGGTCGACCTCATGAAGATATCCAGCGTCGCCTCCGATGGTGCAAGCGTGATGGTCGGCAAGAACCGGGGAGTGGTGACACGCCTTCGTATGCGCATCCCGCATCTGGCCTCCACCCATTGTATTGCTCATAGGTAAGCGTCATCGGTGTGTGTTCTGTGCTGCTGCTGTACCAAATATGCTGGTTGACTAACCTTCAATTGTTGTGATATTCTGTTCAGGGAGGCACTCGCTGCCAGTGATGCTGCTGAAGAGGTACCTGACCTGCTGATGATAGACGATGTCGTGCGCGCCTTCGCTGACCACATCGGCCGCAGCAGCGTGGACTACTCGAAGTTCCAGGAGATGCAGCGGGTTTTCTGCCAGACGAATCTCGAGGCGCAGGGGATTAGCGACACACGCTGGCTCGCCCGCGGTGAAGCGATACAGCGCCTGCTCGACGTGCTACCTGCGGCCATAGTGGTCTTGAAGGACTACAAGGCGGAGCTCTACGAGGTGGTAACCTCGTTCACGTTCCACTTTCTCATCCGCTTTCTAGCAGATGTGCTGTGGGAATTGAACAGCCTGAACCTCCGATTCCAGCAGCGCCAGGTACGCGTGTTTGTTGGTGGCGTGTGGTGTCGGCTGCAAGCTTGAATACTAGCGATCTGGTTGAAATCCCGATGTGCAGGTGGACATCACCCTTGTTGCGCACATCGTGCAGCAGACAAGGCTACGTCTGAAGACGCGGTATTCCCTCCGCGACCCTACACAACATTTCGGCAGCGGGGAGAAGATGCAGCTTCCCGAGTTCATCAAGAGTCACGGGAAAACGGACAAGCGCGAGATGAAGGCGGAGGGCGTAGACGGGGACGGGAATCCCGTGACGTTTGAGTTCACGCTGCACGAGCGCCCTCTGCCTGGACACGAGACGGGAGGCGATGTTACGGCGTGCGTCGAGTTGGCGATCAAGTACGTGCGCGCCATTGACAAGGAGCTGGAGTGGCGCATGCGAGACCTGGAGCTTCTGGAAGGCTCGAAGCTTTTCCGCACAGCCTCGTACGTGTCCGACGACACGAAGCGGGTGGAAACCTTCAAGAAGTGGCTCGGGCAGCTGCACAAGCTGTACCACCACAGGCTGCCTGGTAAGCCTGCCGTTGCGCTTGCACATGTTATCATGTTTGTTGTCGCTCTTATGCCTGCCTTGCGGTTGACCATTGCACATCCTGCATACTGTGGCTTGTTGGACTAATGCCCCCCACCCCTACCCGTGTCTCCGACCATCTGCTTAGCTTTCACTCGCAATCCGCCCCACCACAGGGTTCGACTACAAGAGCTGTGGATGTTTACATCCACAATGTTCGCCCAGCACAACAACGAGGAATTCCACCAGGCGCTGACGAACATGCTGCGGGATGATGCATGGCGTGTCTCCTTCCCCAACATCATGCGGATGTGGCAGTCAGTGGCCGTGCTGCCATTGAGCACGGTCGAATGCGAGCGTGGCTTCTCGAAGCAGAATCTGATCAAGACGTGGGGCCGTGGCAGCCTGGGCGACACAAGCCTGGAGCATCTCATGCGTTGCTCCCTGCTGTGCTACGATGTCGACTGGTTTGAGGTGGTCGCCATCTTTCGTGGAGAGAAGCTGAGGCGATCCACCAAGGAGTTCGACCCCACCAGAGCTTCACAGACTCAGTTTGTAGAAGATGTAGGCAGTGGTGGTGGCAATGAGTAGGTGTGTAGTTCATGTGAGACTTTCTAAGAGTTAATGGAATTTATGTGTATTACTTTATTTCGGATGTTAGTAGAATTGTATCTCACTAAACCTAAACCAAAACAGGGATGGCCCAAAACTACCCTGCTCAAATCAGCCTAGTGCCTTAGTTACCCTGCTGAAATCAGGCTATGGGAAAATTTACCCTAGGGGTCTGTTCAAGGAGGGGCTGGTACCCTGATTTGTAAGAGTAGGCCTAAACCAATTTTGGGCCCTGCTAGGAGCCTAGGAAAGTAGCGAGAAAGGGAAATGACGAGAAGGGGCGTTCACTATGGAGAGGGTTACAAGATATAGGGTAGAAATGGGGTACACCACCAAACAAGAAACTAGAATAACTACATTACAGCTAGAACTACATGCATGAATAGCAAATTGCAAAACACAACCTGCAGGGGTACACTAAGCAGAATAAAGTAGCAGCACGCAAAAGCAGTAGCAACCTGGTGCAACAGTGGTAGATACAGCTGCAGAAATCCCTTAGCCAAGACGAAAGACGTAAGGGGGGCATGCATGCGGTGCAGGTAGCCTGGAGAGCGGCGTGCGGCGGCAACGAGCGGCGGCACAGCAGGCTCAACGACAGCACCTGCGCCAACAGCAGCAGACGAAAGACGAAAGGTGGCGACAGGGGCTGCAGCTGTAGGTGCCACGGTAGCAGCAGGCGGCAGCTGCAGATGCGTGGCTGCTATTTCCGCCGCCCCTCTCTTACCCTCCCCCCCACAGCAGTGAGAGAGAGAGGAGGGGTGTCAGATGTTATAGCCTGTAGTGAGGTTTGTCTTAGGGGGTACAAATGTTAGGGTTTGCTATATGTACCCCAACTCACATCAATGAACCAACACTTCAGTTTTTGACATGGTATCACCTAGGTTAGGATCCTGTAGGATCCCATTCCTCCTACCCGAGCCTCCCGAGCCTACTGCGCCTCACTCGTCTTGTCTCGTAGCACTGCCGTACCGCCCTCTCGTACGCCCGTTCGCCACGCGCCTGCAGTCGTGCTAGCCGCAGCATGTTCGTCGCGCGCCTACCCTACGCGCCCGCTGTGCCTGCCCTACGCGCCCACTGCACCTGCTCTCAGCGCCCGCCCGCGCGCCTGCCCTAAGCGCTCGCCGCGCCTGCCCTACCCGCCCGCCCGCGCGCCTGGCCTCTGCGCCCGCCAGAGCGCCTGCCCTGCGCTCGCTCGCGCGCCACGCTAGCTGCCGCGCATGCCCGTTCCGCCCGCCGCCGCGCCTGCTCGTTAGCCCCCCCCCCCCCCCCCCCCCCCCTCCCTTAGCGCCGCCACGCCTGCTCGTTAGGCCCGCCGTGGCGCCTGCTCGTTAGGCCCGCCGCGGGCCCCTCCCTTAGCGTCGCCGCGCCTGTTCGTTAAGCCCGCCGCCGCGCCTCCACGTTAGGCCCGCCGTGGGCCCTCTCTTAGCGCCGCGCCGCTCCTGCCGCTGCGCCCTGCCGGTCTTGTCGCTTCTGCTTTCGCTATAGCGACCCCTAGGGTTCTTCGCTTTGACGCTGAGGGTAGGCCCCTCGAGTTCTTTGTCTGGCTCCAGCGTGCGCAGCGTATCCTAGAGAGTCAGGTGCAGGCCAATGAGTCTCTCTGGGCGCACGCATCCGCCCATCCTGAAACCCTAGGCCCTGATGCGACCACTGCGGAAAGAGATGAGGCGAAGCGGCTGCCAGGAACTCTAGCTCAAACTGCCTATCCTCTAGGGCGTCACAGCCAAGGGCAGACTCACCCCTGACGGCCAGAGGACTGGTAGGAGGAGCAGCCACAAGACTGGTGGCGTAGTCAAGGCGGCGAGTAGAGGCAAACTCAGTGACTGCGGCAGTAAGAGCGGAGACAGAGGACACAGAGGCACGAGGGTCGGTAACAAGAGAGGCGAGAACACGAGACAGAACAGGACAGTATGTGCAGTAGTAGTCAGTAATAGGAGTAGGGAGGGAAGCAGTCAGGGCCGACTCAAGAGGAGAAGGAAGTAGAGACAGAGACGAACGAGGCGGACTAGAACGAAAGAGGGCAGTACGAAGGTCAGTAACGAGAATAGGAGACAAGGGACTAGCACGAGGAGAGCGACGATAGACCCAAGTGTGAGAAGGAGGAGGGGACAACGGAGGCTGAAAACGAACTGGGGAAAACAGCGGGGGAGGAGTCAGGAGGAGGAAACGTGGGACCGTAGACATGAGGCGAGGGGGAGGAGGAAGGAGAGCGAGAGGGGAGACCGAGGGTCCGAAGACCAGAGACAGGAGGAGGAGGGGGCGACTGCAGCTGCTCCTGCTGCGACTACAACCGCTCCTCCAGCTGCGGGTGCTGCTGCTGCTCCTGCTGCTGCGGCTACAACCGCTGCTCCTGCTGCTGCTACAGCTCCAACTCTCTCTCCTCTCTCTCCAACTCCAGCTGCTCCTCACGGGCGCGGCGAACACAAGCCTGGAGCCGAGTCGGGTAGGGGTGGGGAGGAGGAGTAGTGTCCAGGGCAGCGGTAGCTCCAGACGCGTCACCCACAGAGCCAGTACCACCAGCAACAACACGGCCAGACTCACCAAAGCCCGCAGAAGGCGCACCCGCACCCCCTCTCGTAGTACCCTCAAGGTCAGCTCGACCAACACCAGCTCCCGGAAGACTAGAGTCTACTGCAGCCACGGGCTCAGCTCCAACTCCAGCACCCCCAGAACTAGGACCCGGCACAGGTACGCTCTCCACCAGCACCAGCCACTTCTGGAACTCCAGCAGCACATCCGATTTCTTGGCGACCGGCCTCACCCACACGAAGCGGGTCTTGCGGTCCTTCAGCAGCAGGAAGTACAGGCTGCCGTCTTTGGCAGCCACACGGAACGGCCCGCACAGGTCGATGTGGACGACGGCTAGCACGTCGGCGGCGTCGGAGCCTTGGTCGGGGAAGGTGTGCCGCGCCAGCTTCCCGCCAACGCACGAGACACACGGTGAGTCGGCGCCCGTCGCCGACTTGAGGTCCAGCCCAATGGCGACCTCGTTCTTCGCCGAGCTCCGGATGGTGTCCATGCCGACGTGCGCAAGCCGAGCATGCATCCTATCCAGCGTCGACTTCGTCTTGGAGACGATCGCCCGCAGGGCCACAACCTCCGGCGTGGGCGACGGCGACCTCGTTGAGCAGGGACGCAGGTCGGTGCAGAGGACTCGCCCGGAGTACGTCGGCCGACCAAGCACCTCTCCTACTGCCGAGACGAGCAGCACCCCGTCGCCGTCCTCCCGAAACTTCACGCCATGCTCCTTCAGCTGGCCAGACGACAACAGGTTGGCCCGCACACCCGGGACGTACAGCACGTCGGGGATGAGAACCTGCTTCCCGGCCTCGCCTTGCAAGGCGACCGTGCCCCGGCCCTGGACGTCTTGCAGCGCCCCATTGAAGCCACGCACGTGCTTCAAGTCGCCGCTCGGCCCCAGGTCGACGAAGGCGTCCTTTGTCCCCATCAGGTGGTGTGAGCAGCCGCTGTCCAGCAGGACCACCGTCGGGTTCGACTGCACGGCCGCCGCCATCGCCTGGAAGTCCGCGCTGGCCTCCGGTGCCAACGAGATGGTCGGCTCCACGACGCCGACCAGCGAGCACGACGCCGTCTTGTCGTCCCGCGCCTTGCCGCCAGCAGAGGAGTCGGCTTCTTCGTCTGCCTCTCCACCAGCACCAGCCACTTCTGGAACTCCAGCAGCACATCCGATTTCTTGGCGACCGGCCTCACCCACACGAAGCGGGTCTTGCGGTCCTTCAGCAGCAGGAAGTACAGGCTGCCGTCTTTGGCAGCCACACGGAACGGCCCGCACAGGTCGATGTGGACGACGGCTAGCACGTCGGCGGCGTCGGAGCCTTGGTCGGGGAAGGTGTGCCGCGCCAGCTTCCCGCCAACGCACGAGACACACGGTGAGTCGGCGCCCGTCGCCAACACCGTGAGAGCTCGCACCCCCAGCGTCCTCGCCACGAACACCGTCCCCCGCAGGGTCTGCTGCAGGCTGTGGGGAGGACTGTGGGGAAGGAGACTGCACCTGAGGGGCCATCGAGGGGGGAGGGGTAGCGTGGGACACACCTGACGGGGCTGGACCAGGGGGGGGAGGCTGTACCGGGGGAGCACGAGGGGGGACGGAAGTGAGGAAGAGAGGGGGAGGAGGAACCGGGAGACCTCGACAGGGGTACCTGACGTAGTAGGGGGTGGACTCCTCGAAACGGACGTCACGGGAGTCAAAGAACCGGTGAGAGGGAGGGTGGTAAAAGGTGAAGTCAGAGGAGTCCTCAGGGGAAGCAAGGAGGTGTCGCGGACAAGAGCCAAGCAACCCCAGACACGAAACCGCGACGCAACACCAGGGGACCCGGTCCAAAGACTGGTCGGTGAAGCCTCTGGCCGAGAGACACGTGGCCAGAGGTTCAGCTGGTGAGCGGCGTACCTAACCGCGTAGGGCCACAGAAAATGGGGGGCACGGGCGTGAGTCATGGAGGTGTGGGCGATCTCCATGACCAAGCCTATGCGGCGCTCAA